GAGGGAAGGTTGGGCATAGGGCTAGCAACCCTACCCCTTAAAACAAATCTAACCGCTAAAGAAACTTCAAAGCACAAACGATATATAAAAAATAAAAACAAAATTATTCCTAGCTGGAATCGGAGAGGCGAAATGACGCCAGTTGGTGAAAGCCTGCCTTCGGGAAGCCAATTGGCCAGGTCGATGTGTCTTCTCTCCCTCGATGAAAGCGAAAGTAAACGTGGGGACATGGAATGTCCGTACGATGTTTGAACTCAGCAAGGCAGCCCAGATTGCAAACCAGATGAGAAGGTATCACATTGAAGTACTTGGAATTTGCGAAAGCAGATGGAATGGGAGTGGACTCTCCAAACTGTCAACTGGAGAATCAATAATCCGCTCCGATATTGTCACCCAGACGACAACCACGAGCACACTGAGTTATGGAGTGGCTATCATGATGTCCCCAAGAGCATCGAAGGCTCTCATGCAGTGGGAACCAATCTCCTCCAGGATCACGACAACAAGATGGATTCAACTCAAAAGGAAGGAAAGTCACAATCATACAATGCTGTAAACCTACAAATAATGCAGAGCAAGAGAAGAAGGAGGAATTCTACAGACGACTGCAATCAACACTGGACAAGACGTCAGTTGGCGATATCAAAATTCTAATGGGCGGAGTGACATGAATGCCAAACTGGGAGGGGACAACACAGGAAGAGAACTAACCATGGGTCGAGAAACGCTCAGTGAAATGAACAAGAATGGAGAACTGTTTGCAGATTTCTGCACATTCAACGATTTGGTGATTGGAGTCAGGCACTGTGTTCAAGCACAAGGATATCCACAAAGCAACATGGATTTCACCAGACACCAGGACACACTAAAAATCAAATCGACTTTATCTCAATCTCAAGAAAGTGGAGATGCAGTCTACTTGACACAAGGTCAAGAAGAGGGGCAGATGTAGGTTCACACCACTCACACCACTATCTAGTGCAAGGAACCTTCCAAATCAAGTTAAAAGCCTTCAAGGAGGGTGGTGATAGACCTCAATTCAAGTACAACACTCGGAAACTGAAGGATGAAACTACAAAGCAGATCTTCACGGCAGCCATCAAGACAAAATGGGAGATATCGAGGAACATCCCTGAAGAAACCTGTGTGGAAGAACACTGGAAGTCCTTGAAAGAGATGTGGAAAGAAACCTGCACAGCCGCATTAGGAAGAAAGAAGAAAGAAGAGAAGGAATGGATCTCGACGGATACCTGGAAGCTGATAGAGGAGAGGAGGATGGTGAAGCAGAAGATAAACCAGTGCAAGGATGCTCAACGACAAGAGGAACTGAGCTCAATGTATAAAACACTGCACTGGACAAAGAAGTGAAGAAGAGTGCACGGAAAGACAAAAGATACTCCTACGAAACACTGGCAAGTGAAGCAGAACAGGCTGTAGTTAGGAGAGATAGAGACCTGACGACATTGTATCAAATAATCAGGTTGCTATCTGGGAAGAGATCAACGCAGACGAAGCCAATAAAAGATGATGAAGGAAATTTAATTACCAAAGAAGAGAAACAAAGGAAACAATGGGCCGGCCACTTCAAGAAGCTCTTGAATCGACTACCACCACCACCTGCACTTCGTCCAGAAATACCACCTACAGCCCAGCCACTGAACTACAAGTAAACATAAATCCCCCAACAAAAATGGAAGTCCTGAACGCCATAAAAATGTTGAAATGTGGGAAAGCAGCAGGACCAGATGGTATCCCACCAGAAGCACTGAGAGCAGACGCAGAGACAACAGCGGACATGCTCACACCACACCACTATTGCAGAAGGTGTGGGAGGAAGAGAAGGTACCTGGCTAGTGATTGGAAGAAGGGTTACCTTGTCAAACTGCCAAAGAAGGGAGACCTCAGTGTTTGCAAGAACTGGCGCGAATGACTCTGCTGTCCACCCAAAGCAAGCAAAATATTGAGCCGCATCATCCTGGAGAGGCTAAAGGATGCACTGGATTCAAAACTACGACCGGAACAGGCAGGCTTCAGGAGGTACAAATCCTGTGCCGACCAAATTGCAACGCTTCGCATCATCATACAATAGAGTATAGAATGGCAGTCAGCTTTCTACCTCAACTTTATCGACTTTGAGAAGGCCTTTGACAGCGTCGACCGAGAGGTAATTTGGAAACTGCTTCATTACTACGGAGTACCGCAAACTTTTATCCGCCTCATTCAACAACTATATGAAGACGCCACATGCCAGCCGAGTAATTTACAATGGGAAGCTCAGTGATGCTTTTGAAGTGAACTGGAGACAGGAGTGAAACAAGGTTGTCTACTATCCCCCATGATATTCCTGCTTGTGGTGGACTGGATCATGCAGCAAACAGTGGGGAGCGAGGAGAAGGGGATACGCTGGCTGGACTGCGGAAAAGAACCTAGAAGATCTGGATTTCGCCAACGATGACTTGTGCCTGATATCACGTAAACTTGAAGATCTACAGGCGAAAACTAACAAGTTGACAGAAGAGACGAGGCAGCGAAGGAAGACGGGACTTCAAGTGAATATAGAGAAGACAGAGGTGATGAAGATACCGCACCAACAACTCCAGTCACCATCAACGTGAGAAACTTAAAGGAAGTAACCTCCTTCACCTATCTAGGAAGCACTGTTTCAACTACAGGTGGCGGCACAGACGAGGATGTCAAAGTCAGAATCGGAAAAGCAAGACAGGCGTTGATTAACCTGAAACCAGTGTGGAGATCTTCTGCACTCCACTCAGCATGTGGAACAAGATCCGGATTTTCAACACCAATTCAGTCAAGTCAGTGCTTCTGTATGGTTCAGAGACTTGGCGCGTTACGAAAGGGATTCCCAATAAACTACAGACATTCATCAACAACTGCTTACGCTAGTTCGTTACTGAAGATCAGATGGCCAGAAAGAATAAGCAAGAAGGAGCTCTGGGAACGAACCAACCAAGAACCTATCACCCAACAGATACGCACTGGAAGGAAGTGGAGATGGATTGGGCATGCACTGAGAAGGCCGACTGGGGACATCACGCGCCAGGCCCTCGAGTGGAACCCCGATGGGAAGCGACGAGTGGGGCGTCGGTGCCGAGGGTGACATGGAGGAGATCATGCGAGGGGAAATGAGAGCTTGTGGGCTGTCGTGAAACCAGGTTCAAAAGATTTCAGAGAACAGAGGTCACTGGAGACGTGCTACTGAAGCCCTATGTTCCACTAGGAACCCAAGGGACCAATAATAATAATGAAGGGAACTGGTAAATAACCCACTCCAATATCATTCCAGTTCAACTCACTCCTTCATACGAGACATTTCTTTGGTTCACAGAAATCTGTAAGACCCCCAAAGTTCTGCCGTAGTGTCGGGGTACTTCTAGATCCTACCTCCTGTCAACGACTGACGGGAGGCTGGAAAATTTATGAAGTCCCTCTGGAAACTTCATCCGAACCAACGGGCATCCGAGGCATACTGGCGCCTGGGAGTGAGCTCATTGCGCCGGACAACATTGCAAGTAATGATCAAAAAAGGCTGTCACAGCATATTGTTTCAAGTACGTCAGTCCCTACTGTTTCACCTACCAACTTGATAGTAACCACTAGAGCTGAAGGTCAAATCTCCTCTGGTTAAGCAGTTTTATTTTGCTGATGACGTTGATATGGACGCAATGGTGATGATATATCCCGCTGCATTTACTCACGAAACCTGCATCTCCCATTTGCAATCACGCTGACAAACCTTTATCCCCTTAAGCCTCTTACATACGATGATGACCTCCAGGTGTATTGACAATGTATGGTCGCAAAGTGCCATGTTTAGGAAATCTAGACCTAAAAGTCCTAGTTAGGGTTCATGGCCAAAGTCTGTGACACGAAAACGACGTCATCATCCTCGAAATAACTACATTCAGCCTGTTAAACCTAGTGGTTATGATACAATTTAAAAAGTAATCCGGTTCTTTTACACAGACACATTCACGACGTCAACCGGGGCAACACCAGGCCCCACAGCACCTACATTGACCGACAGAAAGGTAGGATTCAAACATCAAGTTGATAAAAAAAGGATATATGTGTAAAAATGTCCGTAACACGGATTCCCCCCCCCCCCATGGTGAAGAGAGTTAAGGCTACGGGAGAAACAACAGGTTTTTCTCCTCACAACCATCTACGCAACATTCAGCTCCAATTTATTCTCACCTCGGTACACTCGCCCTCATCTAGAAAAAAATCGCTTGTAATGTCTCCACACTTGACAGAGGACATAGCCATCCTATAACGGGTACAGAAAAGAGCTACAAAGAAAGTGATTGGGTTACGTCACAAACCGTACCTGGACCGCTTAGTTGCACTTCAGCTGCACTCAGAGCAACACCGGAGGATCATGATGTACCACATCACCCGTAATTTCCTCCTTCCCAACAGATAGGAAACATGACCTGAGGGGTCACCCGTTAAGAATAGAGCACGAGAGAGCACGTACAAAGATCCGTGCTAACTCATTTGCAGTTAGAGTCTGTAAACTGTGGAATTCCCACCCTTCAGCAGTTGTTACAGCCCCACCCCCTGATTTTTTAGAAAGAGTTTAGACGCACACCTCGAGTCCTACGGTACCGATGGGCAGTGCCCGAGAAGCCTTCCCCAAACCAGATGCAGTACTACGACCTTGGGACCAGATTAATTAATAATCGTACCTCTATTCCTTCAGGTTTTTCAGAGCCAGGAAGATAACTGTGACCATTCTAAGCTCAGAATGTATTCCAATAAGGTAGACGTAGAACCCAAGGAACCGTAGTTCACTAATTTTGAAGTTTGAGTGTTATTTTAAATTCTTTCACTAATTTCTAATGTAATGCAAGCGTAAGTACTTGATCAAAGGATCTAGTCTGCCTTTGTGAAGACACCATGCTCAAGGAATGGATACAAGAGGCCAAAACGTCAGTCTCAGATTCTTATTGGATGTTGGATGTCCTGTCCTTGAAGAGAACCAATAGCGAAGGTAAGGCGGCTTGTTTGACATTTTTAGGCATGTACCAAACCGTTGACGATGCTACTGATGAGAAACAATGCTTTGTATTCACGGAATTTAAGCATTATGATCAAGTTATGGATTTGATATCATCAATAAAGACAGAAGTGTTGGACCCAAACAAGGAAGAGAGCTTGGAGGAGACTCTTATAAGTATGGCTTTTATCCTTTATGAAATAATAGATAGAAATCTTTAGCCTTTATCAAGAGCAGCCTCACCTTCTCGATCCTTACCTCGAGAAAATGATATCTGCTTGTCTAGATGCTGTACATTGTTCCACTTCAGAACCGAAAGTTTTCCACTTTGCCTTCAAGATTCTGTACCTTATGACGAGGACACGTGGTCACAAGGCTATAATCCGCCTGATGCCACATACAGTTGATGATATAGAGCCAAATTTATGCCTTCTTATGGAACAAGATATAAACAGCACAGAGGTAAGAGACACCTATATATGTAACTCTTCAATGCATTCATAGAATTGGCAGACGCGCTATGTTCTTCTGCTGTGGTTATCTGTCTTGGTTATGGTCCCTTTCAGTCTAGACCGTTTAGATTGTCCTGGTAAAAGGCCCATTATTGAGCGTGTGATTGAAGTTGCGAAGCTGCACTTTGCACAGAATATGCCACCTCAAGAGGCTGCTGCCTTCCTCCTTGCACGTACGGTGACTCGACCAGATGCAGTACAAGTGCAGCTGCCTTTAATAATTTCATGGTCAGTTGAAAATCTAAGTCGCTTTGATGGTAGGTGTAACATTTTAGTTCATTCTCAGGACTGGGTTCATGAGATTTTACTCAACAGTTTGATGATTATTTTTGAATTTAAATCCTACAGAATGCATTTGTCCTCATTTCAAAAGGTCTTTATGACTACTTTATCTGCTTTATGTGTTGTTTGAAGGCATTTGGTCACTGAATGGTAACCTGGTATGCAATCTCAGTTGTTTGGGGAAATACATAGACGTTTAAAACTTACTTTTAATAGGTCATATTCTATTTCTCGAATGTCTCTTTCAAATTCCCAATTTGGGACGCTGACACTTGTTTTGATTGTCATAGCTAAACTTGGAAGTAGTCTCAATGTTACTTATCGTCACTTCATAGCAGAATTCCCTTTCAAGTCCGCACCCTTCGAAAACGAGTGTTGTTTCTTACGTTTTGTACTGTGTTGGCTTTTGCCTTAAGTAATACACTAAAGGCTTTCTTACCTATCTTCAGTTTTCAGCATAGCAAACGTTTTTATTTTATGTGCTGTAAGAGTTCCGTTTCCCCCCTCCTCAACATATATATATATATATATATATATATATATATATATATATATTATATGGAGGAAAATGGACTAAAAAATTCGGGTAGTGAAGTTTGAGTAACCGATACTATCAAGGCCAATTTTTCTGATTCGGACGTTTGTATAAGCAGCTTATTGGTCTGCTACACAAATTTTGTGGTCTCAGGAATATAGTATCGACTAGATGACGTAATGCTTAAAATCAGGTGTAAAAACAAGCTCAAAAAGTGGTTAACCTTGGTTATGGCTATCTCTTCACTCATCCCGAATTAAGCAAGTGTTAGAACTAACAAAATCACACCCTGTGAGGATGGTGGTGTAATATTGGACAAGCTTGACTACTTCTGGGGCTTACTGCAGTGGCACATGTAAGACAGTTACTAAATATCTAAGCGCCATACTGTTCCATTGGTAAGTACTTGGATATCTTACCAATCATCAGAAATGACGAAAGCTAGCGAATGTCAAACGGGCCCTCTGTATTCTAGCTGGGATTTCGTCAACGACTAGCCCGTTCGGGCTGATACAACTCCTCAAGTATGTAAAGTAGTCAATTCATTCCGCAACTTCACTCCCTATCTTTAGACAGAATAGTTTCAACCTGGTCTGTGAAGATCATCTTACATTTGACAGGTGCGAAACGCATGCCAAATATACAAATTTCTACTCAACGCGTTCAGGGTCAGGGTCTTCACTCAGCAAGACAATATAGTCTGCATACCCCAAGTCAGACAGATGACCTACAGAGAGTAGAAGTCAGGCGTACCTAAGGTTATTTCCACTGGTACGTCTATAATGAAGTTAAGTAGAAACGATGACTGAGCATCGCTGGCAGACCACTAGTTGTCGTCATTTCCTATGACAACTCTCTATAAGACCTTATATAGCTAGCCACATGAGTAGAAAGCTTTGGACTGCATACTTGTACTTGCTCAATAACCTCTTTACAATTGCACACCGTCTAAACATCTCTGATAGATGCAAATTCGTCTAGGTTTGAAACGTGTCCGGTTTTCTCTAGCTTAAGTTAAGCGTCGGATAACTATGGACCCATGTGTCTTGGACACGATATTATTAAAACTGATTCCCCTATAGTTGTCACAGAAAGACTTCTCTCCCCTGTTATAAACAGGAATGATCGTCGAAGTAGACCAGTATAACGGGACTACCCCTGATTCCCATTCGTCACGTAGTCACTCCGTTATTCTACTCAGTAATTTATTACCTACAAACTTATAAATGTCGAGTGGCTAATCGTCAGGTCCGGCAGCTTTGAGTTACTTCAGGTTTGAAACAGCTTTCTCAGCGTCGCAGGGAGTTAGAGGACTGACATCCGCATCCTATTCTGGTTAGGGCTGCATGCTTGGCAACTGAAGTGTTGTGGTGGGTCAGTGGGACTGTGCTTCAAAGTGCTTCGCCTAACGTTCTAGTCTCCTGTCCTGGGAAATCATCAGGGTTTCATTCTTTTCGCTGATGATTTCACCAACAGATATCTTATCGGTATCCTTGATAAAATAAAGGGTTACCGGGTTTCACTTGACACTGACGGCTTTTCCATCCTTAGGGCACTATCAGTGGACTGTCACTCTTCCTTCTTTAGGGGAATAAAATACCGGAGATGATGGAGTCATTATCATTGCTATTAGCTGGTGATGTCGAGATATCCAGGATCATTCACATTAATGGTGACAGATCTCCACCTCATACTAGCCTTGATGATTTGTTTGAATGGTGTAATGGTTTTAAGCAGTATGTTTCAATAGAACTTGTGCGTTTGCAATAACAGAAACCATATATTGACATCGTGTTCAAGGCAACAGAACAGTTAAACTTGGAAATATCACATAATGGGTGATAAAGAAGGGTCAGATTAAGCGTAAGGAGTCTCCACCAGAGTGATTTAGGTTCAAAATTTTCACCCTTTTGCCTCTTGAAGTCATTCACTATGTATTAGTACAAGCCAAGTAAATTTGTGCTGAGTCTTCTCAGTTCTAATCCTATCAGTTAGGTTGATGTTATAGAAGAAGACTGTATTGTACTTGAGAATTGGACAAAGCATTATTCCCTATAGAAGTTAAGCCTCAAGAGTGAATAAGTTTTTTGTACAGAAGATCAGTGAATAGTATGCTTTCGCAAGCACCCTTTTTAGATACCCTGTAAAAGTAGAACTGCTCAACTATGCAACACCAAAGTCTTTTATGAACTAAGAGCAGAGTAGATATTACTAAATTTTGAAACTTGAGAGCGACTCTCTAATAATGTACCAAGTCAAGATAATGAAGGTTCTTGGAATCCATATGGCTGTATATTAATAATCAGACGTTTGCGTATCTTTCTGTCGAGGGCTTCTTTGAAGCCATGGAGAAAGGTCACGCTTCATCGTGTCAGCATCTTCACCTAACAAATATAAATCAGTGTCGATTCTTTCGTTTAAATACATTAGTTCAAATAGCCAAAGTTGACAAAACAATTAAATGTAGGATGAATTGGGAAAGATTGGTACTAAAACATACAGAAGTGTGTAGTTGGGTAGGAACAATCAGTGAAGGTTTTTCGAATCCCAAAAGTAATAAGTAATGTATACTTGTGCACTGTTATGACCGATTTTAAAGAGCGTAATAATCCCAAACCCATGGATTGTGGCGTAAGAACCTTATATGATAACCCATTAGTTTATTATACTTATTTGTCCCTTGGGTTCCTATTGGAACATAGGGCTTCATTAGCACGTCTCCATTGCACTCTCTTCTCTGCAGTCTTTTCAACCTGGCTCCACCACTGCCCACAAGCTTTCATTTCTTCCTCACATGATCTCCTCCATGTCACCATAGGACGCCAGACTCGTCGTTTCCCCTTTGAATTCCACCTGAGTGTCTGGCGTGTGATGTCTCCGAGTGGTTTTCTCAGTGTTATGCTCAATCCATTTCTGGACGAGTTGCGGGTGGTGGTCGATTCAAGAACTTTTTGAAGTGGCTAGCCCATTATTTCCTTTGTTCCTCCTCTTCAGTGACCAATTTTCCTTCACTATCTTTTATTAGCTTCATCTGTGTTGACATCTTCCTAGATAATATTTCAGTTATTTGATATAGTGTTGTCAGGTCTCTCCTACCAGAAGCCTGTTTTGCTTCACTTGCAAGTGTCATAGAAGTGTCTTTTGTCTTTGCACGCGCTCTTCTTCACTTCTTTGTCCAGTGTTTTATAGGCTGTGTTCAGTCTCTCTTTTAGTTGTCCATCCTTGCACTGGTTCATCTTCTGCTTCACCATCTTCCTCTTCCTGCTCTATCAGCTTCCATGTGTCCGTCGAGATCCATTCCTTGTCTTTCCTCTTCCTCTTCCTTCGTAACGCTGTTATGCAGTCTTCCTTGCATGTCTCTTTCACAGAGTTCCAGTGTTCCTCCACGCAGTCACTATCTTTATGTACTTGTAAAACATCTTATGTTTGAATGCGGGAAGAGCACAATGCAAACTTTCAAAGGCACTCCATGACTGAAATACTAGATTCTGTATCCGGTTATTACCTGTGTCCTCGTTACACATTTTTGTCTTGCATGCTGTGGTCCCAATTGTTGAGGTAACTAATGCCACCTCTCACACTTCTATGTTTCGCTTTCTCATCCAGCCATCAAGTTTTGACCATGAGTCGTAACAGTTAACAGTGCGATGAACTAATTTTCATATTCCAATTCAAGGTCTGCGAACTATCGTTTCTCACCACCTAGAAATGTAAAACTCAGATGATTTCCCTAACTGCTCACAAGCTCCCTTATTAACAGGGTCAAAAGTCGAACGGACAGCCTAGCCTTGAGGGACATCAAATGAAATGAAGAGAATATCTGTAAGTGAGCCCAGCCTACTAATAACTCTAGTTTTTCATCAATTAAGGTGAGACTGAATCAAAACAATTTGTATTCTAGCGTTTACAGATTTGAAACAAAGAAGGTAATGCCTATAAAAATGGCACGCGTTCATACGCACGAAATTGTTTTGAATAAATACTATTATTATCATCCTTACTAAGAAGTATATTGAGAAATAAACTCCAAGTGGCGTATTCCTTATGGCGAATGGATTGCGAGCCATGCGTCAATCGCTCTAGTGAGAGGCTTTTAGCCTGTGTTTACTGTAACTGCGCAACTTTCGAGCATGTATATGAAATGCTAGTTAGATAGGACAGCGATTCCCACCGAGCATGGATATATCTTGTGCAAAGTAAATATCTGGTTGATACACTCGCAACCAAGTCTGAAATTGAACTAATTTCCTCGAGTTCGGTGTTTTTGAGCTGCAGCTAGGTGTCAGATAGTTATGGAACATAGCACTTCAGATTCTGTCTTGTTCACATTAATTCCTCCGGCACTATGATGAAAGTATTTCTGCATTTTATTGAAAACCGGGATATCGATATCAGTCAGGGGATCTTTTTGGACTAACATACCCCAGACAATGCTTCAGTTAGTCTATTCATTAAAGCTGGTGTAACGGCCAAAATATCTCTTGCTGGTTTGTCAGGATTCATTCTTCTGCATCTCGCCAGGATACACAACCCTCTCAACTCTAATAAGAGTTGGAAGCCGCATGTCAGTATCTTATTCATTAATATAAGAGTAAAACGTGTTCACTGTAGTAGACTAAATCAATTAATATGGAATATCTCATTCAGTCTGCCCCTAAATAATCTGTGACCAAGGAGTGGCTGGCGGCCGGAAGAATTGTTTGTGAAAGCATTCTACCGGTCGATTGGAGTACTGATTCAGCATTCGCCTTTACAGTCTCACTAGCTGTCAACGTTTTCATTCTAGTCTCCTTGCGAAGTCTAAACTACCATTTATTTATGTGCTGGATTGCTGCATGAGAACCGATGACACAATGTAGCTACTGAGATCTTGGATATAACAAATCTGTAACATGTGATCTATATGTTCGAATTCGTGTACCAATAGCTAACGCTTGTGTACATTCATTATGTAATTGGATGATCGTAAAGGTCACCTTCTGTACCAAAACTTGAATTTTAACCTGAAAACTTAATGTCATATTCATATTCTTTGAAAGGATCTTCTAAGCATAAACGAAACGTTGAGGAATAATACAAAATATTTGTTTATTCCGTTATTTGTTGTAATACACTACATCGGGGCTACACAAGTAAAAACACACATGCTTGTGTACAAGTTTATAGAATTATGTGTCTTCGAAGCTTCAATTGGGTTATAGAAGGCTACCAAGTGGAATGTGAAATGAAATATACTACTAAACAACACGAATAGTTGGGAACCACTATCGTTGATGTGTGGATTTTGCTAGGCAGATCAGAGTGATTTAAACACTGGACAGTCGTTCGTTTGGAACCGGCCTCACTAGCAATGTACCCAAACAAAGTCACTTCATAGTTGTTCAGGTCAAATAAACTAGTTGATTATTAGGATGATCAGTTTGCTAATTACTGAGAAATTGCACGCTCCATGACTGTTTCTCACATATAAGAAATTTTACATCTCGAATCTTGTTTTAGCAGGGTTTTCACTGGGAACCACTCAATAAAGATCAAAGTGTGTGGTCTCTGACAAAAAATGACGGAATGTGCTACTAAGAAACATAAGTAGTTCATAGCCACCCACACTGATCTATAAAATGAGCGATGTAGCGCTTCCTAACACATATTTTGACAGTGGATTCTAAGCTTGATTCCCTCTGACAAGACATGATAAATAGAACATGAGTGCTCAGATATTCAATACACTGACTGCTTACATGGATAGACAATACTGTGGTTGTTCGTTTATCATGGATTGTGGTTTTTGTTCATTTTATTTCTCAGTTAAACATACATATGGTCTCAGCTTTGGTTTATCAAGCATCCAATTTGAAGATTTAAAGTTGTTAAGTGCTCAACGAGATTATGATATACAGAAAACCTAAATGTTCACTTTCCTAAGTTGTATTCAGTAGAGCAGTGAAAGTCAGCAGTGTTTGATTTCTTGAGCAGCGGATAAAGGTGTGTATGTATCTACTCATGTTCATGGAAAAATTATCTTCTTGTTGTTCTGAAATTCGTTCTTAAATTCCCGATAAGGTGGCTGGTGTGCAGTCAGGACTGAAAAAGTCATTCAGATGAATTTAATCAATTGTATCACTCAGGTTCTCACAACGGTGTAATGCACTTCCATATTTCTTTTGTTTGTTTCCTGTAGAGTGATGGACAAACGTGACTTGAAACCTTGCATAAATAGACATTATTCCGAGTCACCATACTTTCAAACAATGTGAAAAGGAAATATAAATAGAAAAACATGAATAAAAAAAGATCAAAATCGGAGTGAATCTTAACTGTTAGCATACAGCAGTTAGATATTCAAGATTTTCAGGAAGGTGTAAATGGAATACATTGACAAAATTGTTATCGATCTCAGTCTGTGTTATTTTTTTTCTATAGCCATTGGTATTTACCAACTTGCATCATCTGTCCCAGCTGCAGTATATCCGACTATCCATCAAAAGACGAGTATACTAAACTGTAGTGCGTTCTTTCCTGTCATAGACCTCTGAGATATGGCCGTTAAAAGTAGACGTGGAATGGTTACACATTTTCAATCAGTTATCTTCGTAACGTTACTCACCTTTAGCAAAATCACCGTGTGAGTAATGTTGAGGTCAGGGGAAGGATACTAAGCAAGATAAGTAAGTCGATTGACGAGGTTATGAAGCGTCATCGATTGATATGGATCAGATATGTACTGTGCACGCGCACCATCGTCTACCTCGACGTCCAATGCTGGGGAAAGTTGGATTAGGTTGGAAGAGAGTTCAGGATGGTCAGAACAAGACATGGGACCAGTCCGTGAAGTCTTTGACTGTTCATCTGAACCGTGTAGAGAGGTCTAGACTCTGTGACTAGAGTTCTTGAGATGATAGAAATCAGTGGTTAAGGACCTTTGGTGTCAAGGGTCCTACCTCGATGTCACTCTTTTCCCATCCACTTGCTGTTGGCTTGCTACTGTGAAGTATGGCAACTTGGACCGATACACTTATATTCAGGGTTCTACGTTGATTTTGTCTGCCCGTTGATTTCCACTACTATGTTAACCCTAAACACTGTTCACTCTATGTGTATTTTGTTCTTTCTAAACCATTACAATCATAAAATACTAAATAGATTCTTTGTTAGAGTTACTAAGATGTAAATATCACCATAAACTAGGTAATCAGTTTAAGGTGGTTAACCTGAACTTTGTACTTTTTCATTGCGGTAAATCGGATCAACAAGAAATAAGTAAATCTAGTCGAGTGAGATAAACACTCAATAACTAGTAATGTCGGTAGAAGCATTGTAATTACAAACGATTGAACAAGATATGAAGGTTTATTACCCGATTTAACGTAGCATGATCATTCTCTAAGGGGTGCAAATAGGATACACTTTTATTTAACTTTAATTGAACTTATATACTGTTTACTACTAGCCACAAATACCACCCTGAAAGTAGGATCTTAGGACAATGTTCGTTCAGCAGAACGATAATTGCTCAATCGGTTCATATTAAGGATTATAATGTAGGCTCCACTCTTTGAACATTGCATCCGGTTATTTCCTTAGTTTTGTATTTAATGTAAACTCTAGGTACCAATATGACCACTCTAAGACAAGTTCACGGAATTCTCAGAAGTATAGCTAATATATGTAAACTCGGCCGTCGCACGGAACTTCTACCTCACGCCAACAATCTCCTAGATGCAATACTTCGGATGTCAACAGATTCCTCCAAGGACATTCTTCTGTGTCGCCTCAAGACGAAAGTTCTCCAGCGAATCGGGTTGCTATTTTGTCCACCTCTGAGTACGACTTGGCAATACTGTCGAGGATTTCGGTCATTACAAGACAATCTAGAACTTCGTTTAGTGGGGAATGATACAAAAATAAATCCTGGTTCTGTAAACGCTATAGCAGTTAGTAACCAGTCGACATATACGAACTGCCAAAGTACTGTTGTCGAAAATGAGGATAATTTAGCAAATGGAAATGCGGAGTTCTACAATGTGGATGAAGCTGCAGAAGTCATTGATAGTTTAATAAGTGCATTACGCAGTCCCTATACTGAGGTTCGATGGTCTGCAGCCAAAGGGTAAGTGATATGTTCACAGTTTTCACTGTTATTAAGCACCTTTCCCTCAGCACAGTATCTAGAGGAGTATTGACATTATTTTTCGCTTTATTTTGTCTGTAAACCTGATAATATGCTGACATGTGTGCATCACAAATCCTGATATTGTCGAAGTAGAAAAAGAAGACAGAGCAGTAATCAAGGAAAACACAACCGTTGTATAGAAAGATATCTACAGATTTTTCTCTGTCTTGTCTGATAGATCCATAGAGTCCTAGTACAAACTGATCGACTCAGTGAAAACAAACAATTTTTGTTATGCAATTCGCTAGGATTAGATGTGTGAAACTGCTAAAGCTGAAGCTACGAGACAAATTTACAAATCAAATCAAAAACTTACGGTAGTGAAAACAGGTGATTGAAAGCAGTGGATAATGTGGTTCGAAACCAGTCACAGTAGTATGGATGCCTACCGAGGTTCGGACAGCAAGATAGTATCGGAAGCATTCACACAATATGTCTAGCTTTAACCTACTGTGCAAAACATTCAAAAGGTTGCTGAGTGGATTTTGATTTTCAACAGTCATACATGTTTTGTTAATTCTTCCGCCACTCTTATTCAATAAGAAAGGTAAACGGGGTTAGTAAAATTATAGTCCCATCATCTAAGCCACGTATTTAAAAACAGTATTCTGCTACTTTCTTCATGTTCCTACTGTTCGACCAAGTATTTGGAGTGCACATGATGTTAACGATCCCAGTTTCAAATGACTGCTGGTGCATTGCTATGGTATATAGATATGTAAATACTATTTATCTTAGTGTTATTTATCTTGTCCTCCACATAGTATCTTTCCTGAGTTTTAGTTTGTATTCATTTTCTAAGAAGCATGCAAGAAATGTCACATGTCGACAGCCTTTTTAATTTTGGATTGTTTTTCGTTTTGTAGTATTTCCAATGTAGGCAATATCGGATTCTCTGAGCTGGATGTTTTAATCGCAAAGCTTTCGTTGTCTATGGAGATAACATCATCAACATTGACTTCATTTTGATGTTAGTACCCAGGGGACTCCACAGCACCCAAGATTATTCACCTGAGCTACTATTATTTTCTATCATTAATGTATTTGCAGTGTTGCAATCATTAGAAACCTCTAAATATCGATTTCAAGTGTTTCACCAAACTTAACCCGGATGCTTAGGCTTATTTATGTTGCCTAAAGTAGCAATTGCACTTCATGAATTGGTACCAAGCTGTTGCGCATGCATACATTTATGTCTAGTCAAGTCATGAATAGAGCTCACATGCCTTACGATATTCTCATATAAGGGTTATTGCAGTTCTGTGACCTGAAAAAGTACTACATTGTTATTGCCTACCATTTAGGTAGACCTTAGTCTGTGCTGCTAAAACTACGTTAATATGAATCCAGAAACGTAATACTTTGTGATTGAACTTGTATGAATTGTGTAGTGAACTACCTGGTAGAATTGTTTGATGGGATTGGTTGAAATATACGTATTAATATTATAATCCTTATTAGCCCCGGGTCATTCTGAAGTAATAGTTTTAGTGAATTCTAAATGCAAATAATTTAATTCATGATTCAGAAAATACCATACAAGCCTTTGTCTTAGAGTAGTATGTATAGAGTAGTTGCATTTTTCCATCCCATTTTTCCTAACTATAGTTAAATAAACAGTGTTGATAACGTAATAATTTCTTCCCAATTTACATAACTTTGCTTTTCCCTTTCAGAATAGGACGGATATGTGCTCGGCTACCTAGTTCAATGGTGGATGATGTATTGTCAGCTGTATTAACATTATGTACAAAGCTAGAATCGTATAATGCATGGCATGGCGCATGTCTAGCTCTGGCTGAACTTGGTCGTCGCAGCCTTCTTTTGCCATCGAAGCTTTCAGAAGTAGGTCTTTGTATAACCTTTTAGATATTCTTTAGGCAGCAAGTAACATCATTTGCAGTACTGGTTTGCTTAGGGTATATAAAGTAAACCGCCGTTTTACTGATCTCATATTATAATGGGTAAACGTTTTTCAATCATTGGGTAACGTATTGTTTTCTAGACACTGTAGTCTAAATGAATTATAGAGTACTTTATTTTGCTGCATAAAAAATCTGTTGAAAAATGCTTTATGCTTCACTAAACAAAGTTCCTAACTTCACTATACGGGTGAAGTGGAATTTTTTTGTCTTCTGAAGTACGTTTATGTATATAACAAATAACTAACTTGTAGTCTTCCATATGAAAAAAAGCTATTGAGTAAAGTTGCTGTGAGTTTGAACGAGTTTATTTCTTTGTGCATGCATCCTTATTTAAAAACCTGTGTCTGTATTTGAAGTTCACTTTACGAATGAATTTTTCATTTCTAGATAATTCCAGTTGTTTTGCGAGCTTTATTTTTTGATGATCGTTCTGGTGATCATAAATATGGGTCTAATGTCCGAGATGCCGGGTGCTATGTTTGCTGGGCATTTGCAAGGGCGTACCATCCCAAGGATTTCGTGGACTATGTGGTTCCTATAGCTACTGCTTTGGTCCTTGTTAGTTTGTTCGATCGAGAAGTCGGAGTACGTCGTGCTGGAGCCGCTGCATTTCAAGAAAACGTGGGTCGACAGGTTAGTTGTATACACTTTCTTATTGTCTTTTCCGTCTATAGATCAAAGTACACTTAAAGCGTTTTGCTAAAGTTTATGTATGTAATTCTGTAAAGATCCGAAATAAAAATTTTTCAATGCTATCAACACCGTAAAATTCTCTTAATATTTTTCAAACATGACCATGTGATTAGTTTGAGTACTATCCGATTTATCTATCCAAATTAATCTAACCGAATAAAATAAGCTATTTTAACCACCGTATCATCTGCATTTTTTTAATTCCCAAACGAAAATTGATATCCAACTGTGGTAATGTTAAGTTCCTCATTAAAGTTATAGATGTTTCTCTAGCCACTATTTTTATTAGCAAAACTCAATGATAGCATCCCATTTACTTATACCCTACTGAGAGGGTTGAACGTGACAAGCAGTGTATTTCAAAAACGAAGATCAATCAAACATCGTGTTGAAAAGGCGGTACACGTGGCCTTCAGGACTCAACAAATGAATTTCGTTCGAACCTCCTTTGATCACAAGTGACTATACGAGGGCAGCACTAAGTTTATCCCACTGCGTTTTTGGATTAGATTTTAACTCATATTTTCGGCTATTGGGTTCACTATGTCAACTACTAAACCTAATTTCGAAGTCTAGCCAGGGTCAAACGCTTATAGAAAAATCCATGAAATTATAAGACTGTGATGGGCGCCTACCTAACTTGCTATATATCACCGCCTCAAACCATCTACTCAGTCATTGTTATCCTTATTGTTAATTCACTCAACTACTCGGTAGTCTTTAAGATTCTCGTCTGTTTGTGCTTTATATGACTAAACAGTGTCCTCCACAAGATGTTCTGCAATGTGGCATATGACATAGCTATTCTGAGCCACATCACCAAAAGTCCATAGCCATTGATCCCCATCATCTGGATGGACCCTAGCCAAGCAGTCTGCATATGCTGTATGTGGCACGGACCAATAGTCAACGAATTCGTAGACTTGCACCATGTTCTTGGTCTGGTCACTATTAGCTTTCTCCTAACTCACTATTACTTAGGTTAATATCACACTTCGAAGTTAGCAGTTGCTCGGCGTGTTCACACATCCGAGTCACTTCAGTGATTTAAGCTTGATAATCTCATCGGCTGACTTGTGGTTTATGTCAATCACCAAGTCTGTAACAAAGTTAAGTAAGAGCGTTGACAGTGGATTTTCTTGGTATGGATCACTGATTGTCGTTACTTCAGAGTGAAAGTCTGAAAATTGCTAAGTTTTGTCGAGTTATTTTCTCCTAAGGTGTCAGACAAAAGTGTATCGGTTCAAGTTGCTACACTTCACAGCAGTATAAAAAGACAGGTGGATAGAATAAGACTGATATCAAAGTAGACAAAGTTGTGTGAGAGAAAAAACAATCTGAAGATAACGGTTAATGCAAATATTCAAGCTTTGGAGATGCCAACGAGTGAATTTATCTGTGTTATAGTGACTGGTTATCAACTATTTTATCACGAGTCCTCAACCACGGATTCCCTTCTTCTGGGAAACCGCAACCAGGCTGTCTACATCTCCCTCTACGGCTCAAGCCAACAATCAGGGACATCATCGACTGGTACCAGGTCCTGGTCTGGCCACTCTTGAACCCTTTTCCATTCTAATCCCACTCCCCCTAGCGTGGCACGGTGAGGTAAGCGGTGGTTCGTTGTGAACAGTACATGTTCAAGCGATCTCAGTCGACTAAGGTTCACAACTTCGTCAATCGACTTGGTTGATGCAGTTCCCTAAGTAAGTGAAGTGGCTGACACACTCCACCACTTCACCCCCATCATTAAGCTGGAAGTCGTTGCAGATCAGTCTTGGAGCATCATCTTACTCACATTTGATAAGTGCTAAACACGTCGAACAGACTCAGATTTCTGCTCAGTGCGTTCACAGGACCCTGCGTTTTCACCCAGCAGGACAATATCGTCTGCATATTCAAAATCAACTAGATGACCTCCAACGAGCAGGTTAATGCCTGTGAAGTCACACATACCTATGATTAAGTCTATTAGTACGTCTGTGACAAAGTTAAGTAGGAATGGTGTCAGTGGACATCACTAGCTGTTGACAACTCTCCATAAGCCCCTACACGACTGCGTGAGTTCGAGTGGGGAGCTTTGATTCACGTAACATACTTGCTCGGTACTCCCTTCACAGTCAGACGGTGGCACAACATCTCACGATCGAGAGAGTCAAATGCCGCCTTCACGTCAACAAATATGGTAAGTGTTGGTCATGAGTATGTCTGTGTTTCAGAAGCTGTCATGGGGTGGAAATGTGACTGATGCACCCTCGACCATATCTGAAGTCTGTCTGGTGTTCTCGAGTTTGCCGTTGTCAAGTGTCAGTTAGACGTCAGATAACTATGGATCATAGAATCCTGAACAGAATATTAGTCAGACTAATTCCCCTATAGTTATCACAACAAGATTTCTCTCCCTTCTTATTGACTGGGATGACGAGTGAAGTGGACCAGTCTGATGGCACTACCTCAGATTCCCATACACTACCTAATACCTCCATCACTTTCCTATCTCCATCCTTGAAAACTTCAGGTGGCAAACTGTGTCAGATCCTGCTGTTTTATGTCGTTCCACGTTCGATACAGCTTTTTAAGCTTCGCGGAGAGTTGGATTATCGACATCCACATGGCATTCAAGTTTAGACTTGATGTTGGGCAACTGAAGCGTTCCTATGGGGCAGTTGGACTGTGCTTTAAAGTGCTGTACCCAACATTTTAGCCATCTATCCTGCGGGATTATCAGGGTACTATCCTTTTTGGTGATGGTTTTACCAGCTATTGTCTTCTTCTTGCCGGTATACTTAATAAGTCTAAACAGTTGCCGGGTAGTTGCCCAACGCTGAGGCCTTCTCCATTTCTCTTGTTTCTCCACTCGCCACTCCTCGCGATTCTTGCGAAGATTTTTGATGAATTCACATTTGAGTTGTTTTTGCTTTTCTTCTTGGTCAGAGGACGCTAGAATCAGTCTTATCGCTCCATTCATTCTGGACGACGTTGCAAAAATTCGATGACGTTTGGGTGTAGGTTACCATCTGTCCTTACCATTATGGTAATGATGGATAGTGGCTAGCAGTGGAATCCAGGATGCGGATTTCGTCCTATTCGGGACTATTCATCATTACTATAATTAGAACGCATATAATATCGAGACATCCGCACGGGAGCCCATATGCGAATAGAGACCGATCAATTCTGTCCAATCAACGACGGTATAATATAAAAACAGTGATACTGTCTTTACCACTGTTTTTACAGCAGACGTAATATCACATCAGGTTTTTTCAGGATGAGGGTTGCTGTCATGTTCAGATAAATGCTTAGCCATCTCTTCCCTAAATTCAGACTTGACGTTCTCCTTTTTCATTCGACCATAAACAGGCTTTACTGCCACCCATTTCTTGTGACCAGTAAGGCTCAGACATACGTGGGCCCGTACTGGCACATGATCAGAGTCCAAGCAAGTACTTTAAAAACAACGGCAATCCTCTCCAATGGTGGCTTGTAGCAATGTGATATATCTGTGTTCATCTTTGGTTTGAGGTGGGCGGACGCCACATGAGACAGTGTCTCTCCCTATGCCTAAAGTTAGTGCTGGTCATGAACAAGTGATTGTCAGTCGATCACCGTTGTCGGTTCGTTGGGATGGGATTCCGTAGATACTTTTCCGATTGGCTGAACTCCCCTACTTGAGCGTTGAAGTCACCTACCCCTATAACTACATCTGAACGTTTTGTTTTCTGTAGCGAAGTTGACAGCTTCTCATAGAATTCATCCTCTGCATCATCGGAACTTCAGTCGGTTGGTGGGTAGCGGAGATAACGAATAGGGATCGCTTAGTCTCACCATCCTTCTCAGTCCTTACAGATCCATTCAGTTGAACGGCACAAAGACAGCTATTGACTGGTATCGAGTCTTTTAGCTCATTTTCTGCTCTACAACTCAGTGCTGTGCCTACTCCAGTAGGTCGACGAGAGTTTGCTGTTAGGTCTTCGGACACTCGTAAGGTGAATTTTGGAGATTCACTACTATGGGCAGATAAGGTCAATTAAATAACCAAACTCGGGTCATGTATACATGCTATGTTTCAGAGACAGCATACATCCATGGCTAGATATTCCAGAGTTGGGATGTTGAAAGCTCGTACATGAAGTCGATAGCGGGGTCTTCGAAGACTAGGAATGAGTTTACAATGACTTTGATTGTTGGCAGAGAGAGAGAGAGAGAGAGAGAGAGAGAGATAGCAGTTAACTGTAGGAGCTGTTAGGTTTAGGGGTTTCAGTTTCTCCATCTTCAGTGAAGATAAATTGAAAGTGAAAGGCTTGGTGAAATATTGATATAGTAACTGTTAGCGGTAGTTAGGGAGACCTGTTGAAAAGCTCTCGGAATTACAAGAAATATTATTTTCTATCTATTATTTATTACAGTGGTGTATTTTCGTCGATGACTAACTTCCAAGGGAAATTATTTGACTAAATTAACCATGTATGTGAATATCTGTAAAGCTAACTAGATGTAACGTCGCAACTATCATTTACTTTCAGAGGAATGTGCTTATCGTAGTTCTGTTTTTAAAGAATTTTTGTACTGCTGTTGCATATTGATGTGTGTCTTAGTGTCATGCGGATATCAACCTAATCGTGATTCCCGTAACTTGTTCGAATATTTCACAATGAATATGAATTGTAATAAGCTCATTGTTGTTTGTATCTTACTTATCATTTATATATAATGTAGGGTCAGTTTCCGCATGGGATAGAAATCCTAACCACATGTGATTATTTCAGCGTTGGGTGTCGTGCTCAATGTTATTTGGAATTGAGGTTAGTTGAGTTACTGTTCTCATAACTCATTACTAAAGCTTCTCGTTATTTCTTCAATTTGGTTTCAAATAGTTTACTCATGAATCTAAAATCTCAGTAATTCGAAATATTCCCCAAAATTACTTCGATTATCAGAAGTTTGCTTTTTTCACCCCATACATAAGCAGGTAAGTATCCAGATGAAGTACAGCTAAGACGTTTTATCTGAGAAGTTTTGATACGACAGCAAGTCTCTACAAATCAAAGTAGTTCAATTATGTGCAGACGTCGTATAAATCTTCTACGAGAGCAGTTGACAAGAAGGTCTGCTGATTGATTGCTTCCAACCAACTAGCACCCATCAAAAGTGTGCCGCGATCGTGAACATCTTAGCTTGGTAGCTACATTGCAAAAATGATCGATAGAATTCAGTCAGTACTCAGGACTAGATAGAATGAATTTGGTTGCTCTCCAGAGACCAGTCAATGTATTCATCCCCTACATTTTCTCATGGCACTGTTAGTGGTGCCACTATATTTTTTATCTGAATCCTTACGTAGTTGGTACATTCTCTCCTATTCCAACTTCACTGTTCATATTCAGGATGCGCATTTAGTCTTATTTGGGACTCGTCACCTCATCATCATCATTATCAACATAGGACCAGGCATTACTGCGTAACGGTCCGAGTTGCCACACCTCATATCAGCACATCAAGTAAAAAGGTAGTGAGGTGAAGGATGAAGATAAGTGAATGCAGTCAAAAGAAATATAAAGTATGAGAAGAAAGAAAGGAAAGAGGAGTGACAAAATAGTGAGATTCGGTATAGCGTTGTTAAGATGAGGATAATGTGTGTATACATCTGCGCCACTGACTTCGGTTCTGAGCCATATCACCTAGGGTCTCCAACCACTGGTTCCTCTTGTCCCGTGGACCCCAACCACCTAGTCTGCATCGTCCTACATGGCTTAAACCAACAGTCAGAGACTTCATACATTGGTGCCATGTTTTAGTCTGGCCACCTCGGGCCTTTTTCCAGCCTGAACCCACCTCAGCCAACATTGTGTGACGAGGCAATCGGTGACTAGGCATACGTAGTACGTGTCCCAACCATCTCAGTCGATGAAGGTTCACAACCTCGTCGACTGACTTACCTCTTCTCCCTAAAACTCTACACCTAACTTCTGCATTACTCACATGGTGACACCACGGAATACGTCCTATACTACGAAGGCAACGGTGGTCAAACACCTGAAGCCTTCTCATGTCTTCCACTTTCAATGGCCATGTTTCACAGCCATACAGTAGAACAGAGCGGACTGCTGTGCAGTACACGCGACCCTTAATAGACAAACGAATATCACGGCGGCGCCATAGGTGGCGCAAATTGGCAAAAGCCAATCGAGCCTTTTGTATCCGTGCAGAAATCTCATCGGCAACTGACCCACCAGAGTTGAAGTGGTCAACACACTCAACCACTTCACTCTCTATTGTTAACCGCGGTACCGCTGAAGACCAGTCCTGGAGCAAAAATTTGCATTTGGGTGGTGAAAATCGCATCCCAAACATTCTCAAATTCCCACTCAAAGTGTTCAGAAGACTCTGCATCTTGTCAGCGTCTTCACCTAACAGGACTATGTCATCTGCATATTCTAGATCTAAGGAAAATTCACCTGTGATTCGGTCAACGTCTTTGTAATTAGGTGACGAGAGGGAAACCTCCATAAGAATATCTATGATAAAATTAAATAAGAATGGGGATAGTGGGCATCCTTGACGGACACCACTTGATGAGTATAGCTCCCTGGACAACTCACCATAGGCTCTAACATGCCCACAAGTGTTCGAGTAGAGAGCTTTCAATAAGGTGATGTACTTACTAGGCACGCCTTTCAGTGACAGACACTGCCATAAGACTTCTCGATCAACGGAGTCAAATGCCGCCTTCAGGTCGAGAAATACAGCTATTGTCGGGCGTCTGTAAGCATGCCTATGTTCCAGGACCTGGCGCAGTGTGAATATTTGGTCGATACATCCACGGCCAGGTCTAAAGCCTGCCTGGTTTTCTCGGGCTTGCTGTTCCCGAGCTCCACTCAGGCGTCGGAGAATTATAGAACTTAGGATCTTAGACACTATGTTTGTCAGGCTGATTCCTCTGTGGTTATCACAAGAGGACTTCTCGCCTTTCTTGAAGACTGGGATGATGAGTGACTTAGACCAGTCGGAGGGGATCGTATTTGATTCCCATATACTGGCTAACACTTCCGTTAGCCTGACTAAGAGCACTCTACCACCATTCTTGTATACCTCAGCAGGTAGTCCGTCTGGTCCTGCTGCCCTTCCCGTTTCAGGCTACCTACCGCTTTCTCAACTTCTTCTAGTGTTGGGGGACCTGTCTCTATGTCCCATTCAGGGTCCGACTGGATAGCGGGCAGCGCAATGGTGGCTGGAGGCCAGTTAAACTGTTCCTCAAAGTGTTCTGCCCATCGTCCCAGTCGCCTTCCCTGCGAGTGAATCGCCGATCCGTCCTTCTCCGCTATAACCTCACTAACTGTTGTTGACCATTTCCCCCCAGTCTCCTTAATAAGTCTAAATAACTGTCTACTGTTACCGATCGCCGCTGCCTTTTCCATCTCTTTAGCCTTTGCTGCCCACCACTGTTCACGATCGTTGCGCAGACTTTTCGTCAGTTTATTTTTAAGTTGCGCTCGCTCTTCATTGTACTCAGAGCCTGCAGGGATGCATTCACGTGCATCCATTAGTTTGGAAGAAGCTGCTGATATCCACTGGCTCTTTTTAGCCATTATCTTGGAGTCGGCTACAGTCTCCAGTGCTGCTTTTACAGTAGACTGAAGATGGCACCAAGCTTCTTCTGGATGAGTGACAGTCTTTTGTTCCGATAACTGCCTAGCCAACTTCTCACTGAACACGGCTTTGGTGTTTTCGTTGTCCAGCAGAACTCGTAGTGGTTTTGTTGCCAAATTTTTTCTACGTCCATTGAGACGCAGGCATATACGTGCTCGGACCAACGCATGATCGCTGTCCAAACACGTACTCCAGAAGGAGCGGCAGTCTTCCACCGATCCTCTCCAGCGATGACTAATAGCAATGTGGTCTATCTGTGTCCATCGCTGAGTCGAGCTCGGTGGACGCCAGGTCAGACAGTGCCTTTCTTTATGTCTGAAATTTGTGCTGGCTAAAAATAGGCGGTTATCTGAGCATAGTTGTAATAGGCGATCACCGTTATCTGTACGTTCAGCTGGGATTCCGAAAGTGCCACCTAAGTGCCTTTCTGCCTCACTCAGTCTACCCACCTGTGCGTTGAGGTCACCTGCAACAACCACTACGTCCGAACGTTTGGCTTTCGAGAGGAGGTTAGACAGTTTATGGTAGAACTCGTCCTTCACTTCATCCGAACTACAGTCAGTGGGTGCGTAAGCAGAGATTACAAAGAGACAACGGCGAGTCTCACTATTCCTTTTAGTTCTCACTGTGCCGTTCAGCCTCATAGCGCAGAGGCGACTATCAACTGGGATCCAGTCTAGTAGTGAGTTTTCTGCCCTGGTGCTTAATGCTATACCTACACCTGCAAGACCACGAGAGCTAGCTATCGAATCTCCAGAAACTCGAAGGGTGAATTTTGCAGATTCACCAGATTGGTCAGGAGAGGTCAGGTGAATAACCACACTTGGGTCCTGTATGCGTGTCTCACAAACACAGCACACATCCATGCCCGAGTTGCTAGAGTCTTTGCTAACGAAGCCTGTTGGCCAATTTGACGGAGGGTGCGGACATTGAAGGCTGAGTTGAGGTCGGTGGACGCCAGGTCAGACAGTGCCTTTGTTTATATCTGAAATTGGTGCTGGCTAAAAATAGGCGGTTATCTGAGCATAGTTGTAATAGGCGATCACCGTTATCTGTACGTTCAGCTGGGATTCCGAAAGTGCCACCTAAGTGCCTTTCTGCCTCACTCAGTCTACCCACCTGTGCGTTGAGGTCACCTGCAACAACCACTACGTCCGAACGTTTGGCTTTCGAGAGGAGGTTAGACAGTTTATGGTAGAACTCGTCCTTCACTTCATCCGAGCTGCAGTCAGTGGGTGCGTAAGCAGAGATTACAAAGAGACAACGGCGAGTCTCACTATTCCTTTTAGTTCTCACTGTGCCGTTCAGCCTCATAGCGCAGAGGCGACTATCAACTGGGATCCAGTCTAGTAGTGAGTTTTCTGCCCTGGTGCTTAATGCTATACCTACACCTGCAAGACCACGAGAGCTAGCTATCGAATCTCCAGAAACTCGAAGGGTGAATTTTGTGGATTCACCAGATTGGTCAGGAGAGGTCAGGTGAATAACCACACTTGGGTCCTGTATGCGTGTCTCACAAACACAGCACACATCCATGCCCGAGTTGCTAGAGTCTTTGCCAACGAAGCCTGTTGGCCAATTTGACGGAGGGTGCGGACATTGAAGGCTCCAATATGTAATTTGGAGCGTGGTTTAAGGAGACCAGGGATGCTGTTCTGTGGACTCAGATCGTTGTCGAAGGCTGCAGAGGTAGGAGAAATTGAAGATGATGCAGCATCATTAATTAAGAGACGTGAAGGAAGATTAGAAGGTAATGATGGAGGGGGAGGATAGCAGTCAGAAGAAACTTGGGTGCTGACAGAGTTGTGAGGGCGGTTGACACTTCCCGGCTGCCCACACCGTGGAAGGCTATTTCTTCTTAAGGTACCTGAAAGAGATTTGTGTGACCGCAGAGCCCATAGGACATCTGCTTGAGGCCTGTCACACCCAGCCTTTTGAGTATTATTATTCTGAACTTTTGTATTTTTGGGGCCGGATGGTCGAAAGGAAACGACAAGTGAACCAACACCGCCGGCCCGGCAGACCGTGGGGCGTGGTGGAGTGTGTTATTTTTGGGGCCGACCTTTTCTAACCCCCCCTTCCACTGAGAAGGCAGCATCAGCATGGCACTGCTGGTCATCCAAGGGAAACACCTTACTGCTGTCACACCCATCCAGCTAGCAGCAGTACGACTTCGCCCTCAGACCCCCATCATAGTGTAGCAATTTACACTAAAACGGTAACTGCTTTTCGTCTAACCACTACCCAACAGACCTTTCTGGTATGGTAGGACCTCGAGGGAACAAGCGTTCCACCAGCATAGCTCGTTGGGTCATTGTGATATGCAAGCCCGACCACCACGTCAAGGTAGCAGCTATCGGTCGGGACTCGTCAGCTAGATTCCACTGTTAGTCACTACCCGTCATTAATATCCAATTAGAAAATGCGGACGATATGGAGGTATCCACACATGGCCCATATGTCAGTAGTGGCTGATTGATTCGATCTAAATCAATGACAGAGATGCTTGAGCCACAACATCAAAGATGATGTAATTAGTGTTATCTAAAATATCAAACGCCTCAAATTTAAGTGACAAAGAAATGTTGTGAGAAGAATGATATCTAGGTTTATTTTAGCACTGAAGTACTTCATTTGTATAGTGGTGTCGTGGTCAGAAGTTTTACCTCTGTTGAGTTGTGGATCTTGTGTGCAAAATGTGGTTTCGGTTTAGAACGGCTTTACTTACATCGATAAGTCACTTTAGTCTTTCATCACCAGGTTTATAACACAGGTGGTGAATTTCACAAAGCGCTATCCAGGGAACTATTTTAAACACTCAACTTTCTATTAGTTTGTCCCATTTTCGAACTTTGCTTCATCAACTGCGACCTTGGCGACCTGATAATATCATAAGCTTTGATGCAATAAATATGACTCATAGTTTAGTACATAAACATGTACTTGTTTGAGTTGCTTTGACTTTAAATGATCCTACTCATTGTTGCATAATTGAAAGCAACCGGTTCTGACTATTCACCATGTTTCAATTATCTTCATACTATCACTTTAATTCAATTTGTTTTGTTCAGTGTATCTGTGGCCAAATACCAAGAATATGTAAAGCCTATGATTGATCATCTAGTCACTGTACGTCTTGGACATTGGGATAACTCAATTAGGTATCTGGCGGCTTGTGCTCTAGGTAATCTATGCCCATTTGATCCAAGTTATATGATTGAAAAAGGTAAGCTTCTTTCGTAAATGTGTTGTAAATAAATGTTTGTTAGCTTAAATTTCCACAGAATCCCTTTAAGTAATCTCTTGAATTCGACGCTTTCGCGCACCTTATTTTATGACTGTAACCTTATTAAGGTAGGAGAATACTTTTTTTAGTTTCATCAGTAAGTGATGAATTCTACTGATGGATAGGACGCATGTTTCGTCCTATATGGGACTCGTCAGCTGGATGTACATACCTCACAGTGGGTGATGTTGTTCTCACTAAAACTCGAACCCAGGGTCAATCGCTTCAAACGCCAAAGTGTTGTCCAAAAGGCTTAAGTAGCTCTCGCCCGATGCGTTATGTTAGCTAAAGTAAGGTTAACTTAGAAGAAAACAAAGTGTAGTCACTACAAACAATATAGAATCTTTGACTGATAGTTTGAACCATGTAGGAAAATGTGGATTTCTCCGTTGTGGTCCTCTCGATAACCGAGATCAGTGGTTGGAGATTGTACGTGTTATGATTCATAATTCATGTCAGTGGCCCATATCTTTATCTCAGTCGTCAGGCTTTACTCAGATATACTTAGTCATGTAAATTTGTCGGTAATCTGGTTGGTAGTGGTCATATAACAGATAAGAGTAATACTTTCAAGATTATCTTTCGCGTGTCACCTAACCTTTCAAGTAGTGTTCGAATTCATCTACGCCATAGGAATTCGAGCTAATAATCGTAATCTTTGTGTCCAGAAGAAGTTTTTATATCCGTATTCTCTCCATTGTCCAACAAAAACTCAGTGAACAGCTATATCATTGAAATATTTCTGTTGCCTTATTCTTCACTCCTTCTTGCGTTTACTTACCATATTTGTCTAGACTTTGTTTATTCGCTTGCTTCATCCTTTGGTGTTATGCAACTTTTATTGTTGCAAACGTGTGATGCACTTTAATTATCGGAGTATCTACATTCTCCTTCTGTTTTCTTGTTGTTAAGACCATCATTTTCGTCTGTATTGTGACTTCATTAGTCAACACTGTCAATATGACTGTTAATGTCATCTTTTTTTATCTATACCGATTGTAATTTTCGGATACATAGTCTCTGCTGTTCCATTGAACCTATCTTCACAGTGAGACTAGCGGGTAAAGATTGTTCAGTGATCCATTCTAGTTAATGATAAAGGGAAGACTTTAAGAAGAAATTCAACTCATTTTCCAGTTAGAACCTGAATATGTACATGGGGTCTCCAACTTTTGCTGAAATTGAGAAGATTTGTTAATACCTGGAGCGATGGAGCGAAACCCGGCCCTAGTGGGCTAGTTCCAGATATATTTCAGGCGGTGGTTGAAGATTATTGACTGTAAAGATTGAAGTGTTAGCAGAAGTATGGCGGTCAAATGTTATCCCCTCTGACTAATCTCAGTCAATATTTGTGTCACTTTTTAGGTTGTGCGACAAATATTCATGTGATCACCCCTCGTCCATAAGTCTACTACTGGTTTCGACACTTGCATCGTCAAGCTAGCAATATTTTAGAACGTCGGTGGGTAAATACTTTTGGTTTTTGTTTGCTGTCCACTTTCATGGAGGTTAAGGGGCGTTGATCATGTTGCTCATAAGCCTCAGATTATATCTGTGACCGCACACATATTGGAAATTGGAGAATAGTTGCCCAGCTTTCAATATATATGGATTTTCTTTAAAAAAACCTGTTAGGACTGACACAATCATCAACAGCTGCCTACGCTCGATATTGTAGATCAGATTGCCAGAAAGAATAAGCAACAAGAAACTCTGGGAATGAACCAACCTATGCAGAAGGAAGTGGAGATGGATTGGGCATACACTGAGAAGGCCGACTGGGGATATCATGTGTCAGGCCAGACCAGGTACTTAAGTGGAATCCAAAGGGGAAACGACGAGTTGGGCATCTGTGGCGAGAGTGACATGGAGGAGATCGTGTGAGGAAGAAATGAAAGCTTGTGGGCAGTGGTGGAGCCAGGTTGAAAAGACTGAAGAGAGCAGAGTGCAATGGAGATGTACTACTGAAGCAGTATATTCCATTAGGAACCCAAGGGACAAATAATAATAATAATAATAAATTAGGGCTGACAAAACTTACAATGCAATAAACGTTTCCCTCCACTTGATCAGTCCACTTATTTATTTCCCGGTTATGCACACCAGTTTTTGAACCATTGACTTGTATGTAGTGCGCATTTCAGACATTGTCAGATTTCGTGATTGCTCAGGGGCTTTTATCTTTCCAGTGGCTGTGCCTAACAGGATTACATTTTCTGCATACCTGAAAACAATTAAAAGATTTCTGAGGCAAAAGAAAATAGAGTCATCGCTCTTATTAAGTCTGTGGTAAACTTAAACGAAAATGATGGGGGGTGCATACCAGTTGGTATCAGTGGTAATTTTCAACCGAAATAACAACTTCTTTCAGGTCTAACATATTTCATACGTTAGCGTGATGACCTGTCAGCGATGTAACTTTGTGTCTGAGAGATTCCTTTTAAAAAAATACTGTTCAAAAGGCATTTCGCACATGAGTTTATCCTAGTGATGCTTAATTTTTTTCCCTCTTGAATTTATTACGGCAGTATTTTTGAAGATTCAATCTATTAAAGTAAAAACTCTTGTAAGTATTAAAGCCTTATTTTAATCAAGTTCTTTTTGTTTCTAAAGTTTTACCTGAATTGATTAATGGGTCACTAAAATCAACTCTCTATAACCAACATGGATGTATATTTGGGACGGGAGAATTGGTATATGGATTATCCAGGTAAATGGTACGAAATCTATAAGGATATATATTTACTTATTTACTTGCGTTTTTTCATATTCGGTGTTTTTGATATACTGAGTAGTAGTTCTGTAGGTGGTAATTATAAGCAGAAGACTAAAGATTGAAAGATTTCCTTATTATTAAATAATTCGGTTAATTGTTTCTACTTTTGTTCAGTTGTCATGATGTCTAAATTGTTTTTCGTAGTAATAACCTTCAGATAAACCATTTCAACATATGTTGCGTATGAATAAGAATTCAGTGTTTATGGTGACTACTTCTCAAAAGTAAATATATATCAACATTAGTAACATGAAATAGTAACTCCACTGTTACAAATTAAATGAATTTAGCAAAAAGGAAGCATCGTGCTGTTTTTCTCTTTATTTCCTCTTTTTGTGCTATTGTTCAATTTTGCAACTTGAACCAATGTAAGAGGTAAACTTGGTCACTGTTATAGAATATATATTATATGTTTCAAACTAGATTATTTTATTTGATGTGACACACTGATACAGTATTGTTTACTGAATGGCGTTTTGATCACAATTTATTCCTCCTTGTCATACTAAAATAATGATACAATGGTCAGAATTTTTTTAGTTTTAACGCGTCAGATTTCAGGTTATGCTTCAGAAATGGGCTGCTACTTGTTGGCCACTTCACTTATTTAAGTTTTATCAAGTTGAGCTAGTTGTCTACGGACGAAATCTCAGCTTATATTTAAAAGAGTAGTTTGATATTTACCTAATGGGCACCATACATTGTGTCGGTTGGATATGCGACTGCATATTAAAGGATGCGCAAACTGTGTAGCAGTTGATTCTGTTTTATGCGACTGAAAGACATGACCGTTGAAAGCAAAGTATATTAAAAGGTTAGGTTTTTGATTATAGATACCTTCATAGCATTGCTTATTTGTGGTGGAACCGCCGTTTGGGCAGTGTTGAAGTTAGGAAGCTAGGACAGTAACTGACGTTATGACTAGGGTCGTTAAAGTCATAGAAATCAATGGTTGAAAACTCTCGAGCATATAGCTCAAAATTGGTCACAGTGGCGCAAATATATGCAGTATTTGTCACCTTCAAAGTCTTGGGTGTTACCGTATATTTATATATTCATATATATTTATCTTCTCTCACATATACTTTTATCAACGTTTTTGCATTCGTTTTCTATCTCCTGTTTCTTTGCACATGACTGCAAAGTATGGCAGCGTGAACCGATGAAATTTTCTGTCAGGCTCTGCGTTGATATATCTGTCTGTTTTATAGTCTAACGGTTGATTTTATTACTAGTAAAATTTTCCGAATATCTAAACTGAATAACAAATCATTTCTGTTACAGGGGTTAATTTTTATTCCTTGACGAAAGATTCAATCGCCAGTCTCTTCATCCATCTCGTTATATTGGATTTTGGAACTGTCACCCTGTCTTCCTCCGTAGAATGATTAGTAGTCAGTGCATGTATGGCAATAATCAACCTTTTTTGTAAATTGCTTACTTTGATAGGATTTATCACTCCCTACTTAGCTAATTTTTGTGCCACAATATTCTGATTGACCTTAATCGACCACTCTGACCTTATAGTCTGACATTTGATCAAGCCTATAGAATTTTCAAGTTACAGTTTGTTTTTTTACTGTTTGCGGGGTTTAAATGCCACCTTTATCTCAGCATTGTTTTAAGTGTTACGTAGAATTTTCAATGTCTCTTCTTTATGCGGCAGTACTGTAAACGATTTGGATTCCTTCTTAGGCATGTTGGAGTTACCACTAATGTTGTTTTACCTCTTTCTCTTATGAATCCTTGTAATTATTTCGGTGAACTCCAGTGAATAGCTTTTAAGTAGTTATGATTTCTCTTTACTTCAGTTCATTATTTAGACTTTCAGATTTACTAGTCAGATGCCTAACTCGATTTCTTGAATATTTCTCCAAGCCTACTGTATATATGGGGTAAGATTATGTAGAATCCTAGGGTTTGTTTGAATTTAATAATTTCCTATGAATATACTGGTGTCTAAACTGATATCACTTCATTTGATTTTGCAATCCAACATAGATGGCTCTCTTTTCTAATTCGTCAGTGAAATAGATTGCACTTGCTATCAAGTTCATGTGAGCGGAGAAAACCTGTGGATGTATCCTAATTTCAACACATGGATGTGTCATCATTTATGAATCTCTGTCAGGCTTTTGGTTGGCTTCAAATGTTTTTAGTGTGTCATTCGTTTTGAAATAAAAACAAATATATGTTGGCTACAATTGAGAATATTGGCTATCCCATTGTCTTGAAATTTGAAGACTGGTTGGAGTTAGGTAATTAGCAGAAAGCCATGGATCTAGGTTCTGTGTTTGTTGGCACTCGTCTGCAAGGTATATCTGCAACCTCAACAGAACTGATGTCCCCCGTTGAGAATCGGACCCACATCATTCAGTGTTGTTGTCAGCGATGTTACCATTGAGCCATTCGAACAACGACTGACCTCTTGTAGGACTGGATTAGATACGTTGATTAGTTACTGGAGGGTGACCCACTTGATGTTATCTAGTCCCAGGTGGTATAGTTTTAGTGTTATTACTTGTATGACACCGTCGTTGATTGGACCAAATTGATCAGTCTCTGTTGGCATATGGGTTCCTGTGCGGATGCCTCGATATTGCCTATGTTTTTTAATTATGTATAGTAATTGCTGAAGCAGTGATGCAGAGACTGGAAGCCATCATTCTACCTGTGATCGAACCAAAAATTTGGATTCGCGATGTGGTTGACACTTTTGTCATCATTAAAAAAGATGATATAGAGAACACTTACAGTTTGATCAAAAACGTTTTCAGTCAATCATAGATGTATAGACATAGACCCAGTCTATCAACCAATGAGAAAAATGATAAACAGCAGAAAGGTCAGAGGTGAAGCAGAGGAACAACCAACAGGGAAATCTTACACAGTCAATGACACAACACTCAAAGGAAACAACCAATCACAAACCACTTCGTTAGGGCAGGCTACTAAATCACTCACGGAGAGATATTGACAGCTCACTTCATACTGGAGTTAGTGCTGATGATGTCATCTAGCAAGACGATGAAAGTTTCATGATTAAACAACCGAGCTCAGAGAACACAATGCAACTAAAATCCATCAAAGTGCATCGCTATGCTGCGCTGCCTAGTCTGGTGGCGACAGTGGAAAACGATCGATAGAATTGAATCAGCAGTCCTTACCAGTCAACATGAAGTTGGTTACCGTCCAGTGACCAATCAATGTAATTACGTATATATTTACCCGTAGCACGATTTCTTCAGTCTACAGTCCGGTGTTATCAGTGAATTCATGGTTAGTAGTGAGGTTATGTCTGACTTCGTTAAATGCCATATTCATTGTTTAATCGATCTATTGGCTATTCATGCCAAACTGACCTTTTTCTTCCCCTGTCCTCTTACTTTACATTTTCTAGTTTTGGTTTCAATTAAGAAAAATTGGTTGACCTAAAATTTGAAAGATTTCCAATAGAGTAGAATATTGTAGCTAAATATTTAAAAAACACATACTTTGACGTGTTAAGTATAGGTGTTTATCTCTCTGACCTTATATTCCTCTCCAGTAGTTTTAAAGCGTAAAATTAATCAATACAAAAAGATTTTGAGGTCTTGTATCTCAGATTTACAATGAATAGAAACGTGGAGCATTGAAAAATTTGAACTTTGCATCAACTAAATTTTTTATTCACCTTAGTGATTATTATAACAGCTAGGGAACTTAACCTTTATCTAGTTGTTATTCATCGAAGACTGACATCAGTTGGAGGAACAAAGGAAACCTGGGAGCACTGGACAGCTGTTTCGTCCTAGTATGGGACTCCTCAGCAGTGCGCACCCACGACCCCACCAGCAGGGATCGAACCCGCGACCTTCAGGTTCCGCGACCAGCGCGTTACCATTGAGCCACTGGGTCAGAATCCAATGCTCCATATTTCCAACTTCTGTTAGCTCACGATATAGCGCAAACCACCACCCAATATCATCGTTGAGTATTTGTCCTCACGGCCATCAGGCTTGACTCCACCGGTCACGACTTGTCATTGGAACTTCGGGAATACTTCTCAGTCGCGGGTTCGATCCCTGCTGGTGGGGTCGTGGGTGCGCACTGCTGAGGAGTCCCATACTAGGACGAAACAGCTGTCCAGTGCTCCCAGGTTTCCTTTGTTCCTCCAACTGATGTCAGTCTTCGATGAATAACAACTTGAAATATTTCCAAATCTCCACAACCCCCTCAAAACTTTATCTAGTTCTATATCTGTCTTGTTGATTTCCGTTTGTTATAATAATCATCTGTGCAACATTCGATTATGCGTAAATGACTCATTTGAACTTACTAAATTGCTGAAAACATCGTAATCACGTGGAATTTACGCATCATTATAAAAAAGAACTGCGGGATAGTAGCTGAGGTTCTATTTTGATCCAGGAGAGATTTTATGACAGTCTTTAAAAGATGATTGATGATTAACTTGGTAAGTACAATACTATATCAAAGTAAAGTGTTATTTTCATCCAGTCTATTCTCTGACTTATCGATAATGAAATAAGTAAGATGATGCGAAAAGAAATTAATATTAGTAATTTAATGCTACATTATCAGGAAATCTGTGAAGTATTTGTACTGATTCTATTCGATGTAGCCAAGATTATCATCATCAACAAAATCCCAGTATGGATACAGAAATTCCAACTAACATTTTTCGACTTAAATTAGGAGAAGATCTAAGCAACGAAACTATAAACATTAAGTAATAATCTCAGCCTAAATTATTCGTGAGTAGCTTATTTAGCCGGTTAGAGTGTAGAGATGAAAAACAAATCTCGTTTACAAAGTGTAACACTTATATTATGAAACAAATTAGGCTGTTTGAGGTTTGAATTATTTCACTTTATCCATCTGTTGAGAGTGTGGTAGGGATTTACTGTTGGAAACGGTGTATAACCTGGTTACTTTTTCAACTACGTCACTGATGAGCTTGGTTTCAGGTGAGCAAAATGATTATTTGGTCCTTAGTTTACTATAGCCAGGAGGAACTTATGATTTCTGAAATATTTAGCCAAAAAGCGAGATAAGTTGATAAGTGAACAAAAGTTCACATATTCATCCTATTTAGCTCTATTAAAATGGCCCTAGTAATGATTGGGTTAGATTCACTTCAATGGGAAGTTGTTGCAAGTTTGTGTTTTTTTCAAAAACTTTTTATATCTGTAAAAGTAAAGCATCAGAAACTTTAGATCAGATGAGTACATTAGATGCTGACCACATTTTACAGTACTGTATAATTTGACTATTTCCCTGTTATATTATTTTCTGGATAATTAAGGGGAAGGTAGGTAACCTGCCCTTTGGATAGAGTATCAATGTATCTGTTTACTTATGGTCTTCACAGAGCAGTATTATTATCATTGTTTCGGTTGTGTTATGTTCTCTAGGCTGGGTTGTTTAGTCGGGAAGTTTTCGTCGTCTTTCTAGACGACATCTTCAGCACTGAAGTACTGAAGTAGGTGCTAAAGATGTCGTCTAGAAAGACGATGAAAGGTATACGAATGAACAACCCAGTTCAGATAACATAATACAAACGACACTATCCACCTGAGCTACAAATATTCTCCACCTTTATTATTGTTTATTTTCAGTTACACTCTGAGTGAAGCGAATTTGTTCGGCATCAAACAAATTGTTCCCACTGTAAGTTGTCGCATTTGTTAGTTTGTATGTATTATGATATATATGACATATTATTCGTCTGTATGTACTCAAGGTGTGTTTGCAAAGGTAAACTACCTGCTTAGTTTAATCATGACGGGAACTGATCGCTTCCACTACACGATTGTCGTTTATACTTGTTCTTATTGAACTATGACGTATTTAGAAAAAAGACTGATTGAGCGAAGAAATATATTCCTTTTCAGTTAGGTCTTCATCTTGGGTTCTACATTAATATATAGTTTTACAATTTAATCAAATTACCAGTCACGTGATGTTTCAGAAATAATAATGTAAATATTCAGTAGAATTGCTAAAATTGGAAATATGAAGCAAGCTATTCTTAGGTAAATAGAGTGACTTTTGATGAGTGTTCAGTCATTCACAATAAGCGATTACGTAATAGTGAGAAAACAACTGAATATTGATAAAAACAAGAAGAGGAAAAGGTGTACAAAGTAAACGTAGAAGTTACATCGCGTTGACGGCCACGGTAATGAAAGTGGTCGAACAAACTTCTTTTGGATACAAAGGCTAGGTTTGTAAAGATGGATTGCAATCGCCTCTGCTGCGTGAAGTAAGCGAGTGCGTAATCCATGAGGTAAATTAACTGGAATCTGATGAATGATTTTGAAAGCTTTTCTAGTATCCACTTTATGTTCTGTGTCAACTAGGTGTACAAGTATGGAGCTCTTTATAATTCTAATTTGTCTCTTGTTCAACCATGGTGGGTGGTGCTCAGAAATTCGACGATGGAACTGCCTGATTGTACGCCCAACGTAACTAGCTCCACAGGAGCAGTTGAACTGATAAATGCTCATACAATACAATACAAAAGGAACCTAGTGAAATACTTAGCATACCGTGCCACAGCTAATTGCTTAGAGGATGCTATTTGTTTTGCATACCAGTCATCTAATGACTGAAAAGCGGAATTAAGACTACCACTGCCCACCGAAATCTGAGTAACAGGATATCGAAAATCCCACAACCTATTACTGAAAGTTGAATCAGTTAATTTACACCATTTCTTTTTCCATACTCATAGTGTTGTCGAACTTTGGATTAGTAGTGAGGAAACTAGTCTGTGGAGATGTATGCCATGGATTGAAAAAGGCTTCATTTATTTCTTTTTGGAGGTCTATTAATTGATTTTAGGTTGGAATTCATTATGAACTGATATCTGTTAGAGGAACACTGGAAACCTGCGAGCACTGGACAGCTGTTTCGTCCCATTATGCGACCCCTCAACAGTGCGCACCCATGACCGCGCTCAGTGATAACGTGCTGGCCATGGAACCTGAAGGTCCTGGGTTCAGTCCCTAGTAGGGGTCATGGGTGTGAGCCTTGCTGAGAGGTCACATACTATGACGAAACAGCTGTCCAGCGCTCGTAGGTTTCCATTGTTCCTCCAACAGATTTCAGTCTATGATAGATTCCAACCTAAAATTCATTTATTTCTATCTATCTAGTATTTATCGAATAGTTAATCTTCTGTATCTTAAGGCAATGACGTTGGCATGAGTTCGAAATATTTCCAATTGGAACTATTATTTGTGAATTTTCGCATAAGTTGGGAAGCACTTTCTTTAAATAACATCCACTTCTATGGAACATTAACACACTGTAAATTTAATTCATTTCACCTTAAGTTTATTCTTAACTGGCAAAAGTATTCTCTTTTGATAAAACCTTTACACTTTTGAACTCTCCAACGATAAAATATCATTTTCATAATAATAAACATTTATACAATGTTACTGTTTGTCTTTTCTCACTTTGTTCAGTTAATAAACACCAATAAATTTCGTGGTGTAAGTGGTGAATTAATTCGCAAAGCAACTGCTCACTTAATTCAAAAATGTTCAATGGCCAAACTTCCTTTCCATGATGATCCAATTGTGGGTGAGTTTCTTCTACGCTATTTGTTTCTCTATGTTTTTAAATCTGAATAAATCATTTTTAATAACCCACTATTTAATAAAAGGAGATCAGATGATGTCTGTAATATTTTGATCAAGGTTTCGCACTCTCTCTGTATCCTTTTTATTTCATGTGGATGTGTAGGTTGTTAGTTTGACTAAATCCACCGAACAGACACTCTATAGGTCACACATGTGAAGTAGGTTGTTAACTAATTTATTTCAACTCATTGTTACACAAGCCTGAAATCTTTGAAACAAAGTTTTATTGTGTATTTTGCTAGAAGTGTGAAAAGTTGGTTCATACGTAGTGTGCATATAGTTTCCTAATGTCGTTAGTAATTAAAACATTCACAATGTAAGCGTTAACATTCTTCATCCTCATAATTACCCTTGAAAATGTTTAATTGGCTCCATTTATTCTCCTTATGTATGATGATGATTGATTTTTATTGAATTGCCTTTCGAATTTCTCTTGTCCTTTATTACTTACATTTCAGACGTATTGATATAATGAGCATTTCATTTTTCGTCACTTTCAAAATAAACAATATAAGGTTAGGCGTCAAACTATAGTCCGTTTGTGTTCTGGTAAATTTCGTGCCCAATGAGTTTGGGCTATCAGCTCGTTTATTCGACCTTGTTTATTCATGATCATAGGTTAAATCTACTCGTAAACAAAACTATATTGTTATTATTTGTTCCTTGGGTTCCTGGTGGGACATAAGGCTTCAGTAGCACGTCTCCGTTCCACTCTATTCTCTGCAGTCTTTTCAACCTGCCTTCACGACTGCCCTCAAGCTTCCATTACTTCCTCACACGATCTCCTCCATGTCACCATAGGACGCCAGATCATCGATGATAGTAGGCAACCTTGTCTTTCTCCCGTCTTGACTTCAAAGACATTACTGAGCTTTCCATTGTGGATCACTTGACATGTAGCATCCTCATATAGTTGTTGAATGAGGTTGATTAGGGTTTGTAGCATTAAAACTGTAGTGTTGAAACAGCTGCCAGATTAGTTCTCGGTCGACGCTATTTAAGGCCTTTTCAGAGTTGATGAAGTTTAGTTAAAGAGCTGACTGCCATAGCAGAACTGTGGTACCAGTCATTTTAAAAGACTCTGATATTTGCTATGATTCTCTCCAACGTATCTTGATCCACTATCTACCTTGATGTGTCATATAAGGGGAAGTTGGATCATGTTGGAAAACGGTGAATGGTTGCCAGACCAAGACGTGTCTTCAGTCCATAAAGTCATTAACCGTTGGTTTCAGGCGTATCAACTACCTGACTGAGATTCTCGAGACGATAGGAATCAATGGTTGAAGACTCTCGGTGACATGCATAAAAATCAATCACATTGGCGCAGATGTATTCACTGTGATGACATTTTCTGAAGCTTGGTTATTTATATTAACTTTTACCTTCAGATAGTTTATTCACTCACAAAACTTTATCTACCTTAATATCACTCTTCTCTTATCCACCTATTCTTTTCATACTACTGTGAAGTTTGACAACTTCAATCGTTGGATTTATATGCGAGGTTCTGCGTAGATTCTGTCTATCCAACGGATAGGATTTACTAATATTATTTGTTAAATTACAAAAAACTGACTAAATCATCTTTATAATTTATGTTTATCCTATCAAGTTTAAAAATTATTCGCTTTTATGCACTCGTTGTTTGTTTATACTGGTGTAGATATTTTTTCCCACTGACTTTACTTGTATTTTTGACATACTGTTCGTGCTACTTTTCATCTACATATTTATTTTCTCAGATTGAAGCAGAAAACTGAGAATGAATACAAAACCCGACCTTCTCATATGATATTTTACTAATGCTAAGTTGAGAATCGACTTCAGTGACGCATATGAGTCCTCATTTTATCTTAACCGCCATACTGAATTCAGCATCTCATTCCGCCTTCCTCTCTTTTACTGCATTGTATTGCTTTTGAGCGGCTTTTCTTTTTTTCTCCTTTCTACTGGTTTGTTACTTTTTATTCTGATATGAAGTGTGGTACCTAGGATCGTTATACAGTTATGCTTGGTCCCCTATGCTGATTGATTGCTGATTTGGGAAGTAATAGAAATTATCAGTTGTTGTTTACCAAATAAGTTTTTGTTGTTACCGACTAGTGGGGTTGCGGGCGTGGGTATAATGAATACTGAGACTCAAAAGACACCTCAACCGAATACCTTTACGACTGACCCCCCTCAGTACCTTCTGCTTCACTCAGCCGCGTAAAATCAGAAGACAAAAGACGGTCTGTGACTGCAACAACAGCGACAACTTTTTATGAGGCAAATACATGACATCTATGTATTTACAAAACTCTCAGAAAGTGAAGCCATAAATGAACTAATCCGATTTCTTGTATGAGGTCGAACTTCTCCAATGAGGTTCTCATGTCAGCGCATGCATAAATCATGGCGTGAACATGATCTGATCATTACTTGAAAACAACTCCCCTATTGGCTGCCTTCTTGTCGCTACGTATCAGTTTTCATGAGAAAAAGAACGTATAATTCTCACTCTGGAAGTTGTTATTGTTTCAAATACTTTATAATCATACTTACCGTTTACAATACTTGCTCTTTACCGAATTTTGTGAGTTTTCCTGTTTTTATTGTGATTTACTTTCTGGAATTAGAAGTTTGGCGTGAGTTTTTGGACGACTGTGTTGGAAACAAAAACTTGGAAGTTCAGGTAATTGTTGTTGAATTATTATCATGATAAACTTTGTATTATATGTCATGAATGGAATCAAAAGCAAACCTGGGGGAATTTAAGTCAATATATGCCAGGTTTGAATCCTTATGCATCAAAGGTTGTTTTCTTCACGAGGAGATCATTAGTTCTGCTTAGTCAACATATAAAATTTTTAAAAATAATGTCCTTACCAGGTTGTAATTACGTTTGCGAAAATAAGCGATTTTGTGCAATTAAAGGTTTTATTGACATTAGTGTTGATAATGATAAATAAATTTGAGCAGAACTGAAAATGAAGCTGGCGAATGCATTAAATTGCATATCATTTTGTTCACTAGGTTAAGTTACCTGGCTTTTCATCACGACGTCTTCAATTCTGTAAGTTGTTATTCATCGTAGATTGACATCGATTGGAGGAGCAAAGGAAACCTTGGAGCACTGGACAGCTGTTTCGTCCTCAATTTCGTCTTCAATTCTTTCACGTTTTGTAATTTAAATTTAAATTACTGCTCATATATAGAAAACTTCAAGTTTATTTCGGTAACTGGTAGTATACTAGATGTTTTCAAGACATCTTTGGAAGTATCTTGTACGGTAACAGTTGTGAATGAGAAAGCGTACTGTTTAGGAATTTCATGCTAGGACTAAACAGGCTGTTCAGTACTCCTTGGTTTTCAGTGTCTTTCCAACTAATGTCAGTTCATGATGAGTATCAACCTGAAGTCATCCTCTTGTGATAACCACAGAGAAATCAGCCTGACGAATACAGTATCTAAAATCCTAGGTTCCATAATTCTTCGACGCCTGAATGGAGCTGGGAACAGCAAGCCCGAGAAAGCCAGATAGGCTTTAGAGCCGGCTGCCAGTGTATCAACCAAATATTCTTACTGCACCAGGTTCTGAAACACAGACACACTAACCGACGTCCGATAATAGCTATATTTCCCGACGTGAAAGCGATATTCGACCTTATTGATCGAGATGTTTTATGACAATATTTCTCCGTGAAAGCTGTGCCGAGTAAGTTGATAATCCTATTGAACACTATTTACTCGAACACCTGTGGGCGAGTCAGAGGGTATGGTGAGATGTCGGGTGAAGTGTGCTCGTCAAGGGTGCCCGCTCTCTCCATTCTTATTCAATTTTATCATAGATACTCTTATGGACGCCTCCCTCGCGTCACCTGACTACACAGAGGTTGACTTAATCACCGGAGCATTTTCATTAGATCTAGAATATGCAGATGACATAGGCCTGTTAGGTGAAGACGCTGACAAGGTGCAGAGTCTTCTGGACACTTTGAGTGGCAATTTGAGAATTTTTGGGATACGTTTCTCACCACCCAAATGCAAATTGCTGCTCCAGGATTGGTCTTCAACAATGCCTCGGCTAACAATAAAGAATGAAGTGGTTGTGTGTGTTGACCACTTCATTTACCTGGGAAGTTGTATCAGCCCTTGTGGCTCAGTGGCCGATGAAATCTATGCACGAACACAAAAGACTTGGCTGGCTTTTGCCAACCTACACCACCTATGGCACCGCCGTGATATCCGATTGTGTATTAAGGGTTGTGTGTACTGCACATCAGTCCGTTCTGTTCTACTGTTTGGCTGTGAAACATGGCGATTGAAGGTGGAAGACATGAGAAGGCTTCTGGTGTTTGATGACCGTTGCCTTCGTAGTATAGGTCGCCGTATTCCGTGGTGTCACCATGTGAGTAAGGTAGAAGTCAGGTGTAGGTGTAGAGTTTTAGGGAGAAGATTTAAGTCAGTTGACGAGTTTATGGACCTTCATCAACTGAGAAGGTTGGCTCCGACATGTGTTACGTATGCGTAGTTGCCGTCTGCCTCATCACACAGTGTTGGCCGAAGTAGGTCCAGTCTGGAAAAAGGTTCGAGATGGCCAGACTAAAACATGGCACCAATGTATGAAGTGTTTGACTGTTGGTTTGAGCGATGTGGGGTAATGTAGACTGAGTGGTTTAGGTCGGGGGCACAAAAGAAACGAGTGGTTGGAGACTCTAGGTGATATGGCGCAGATGTGTACACACATTATCTTCATCTTAACGACGCTATACCAAATCTCAGCATTTTCTCATTTTTCGTCTCTCTCTTTTCGTACTTTATATTTCTTTGGATTGAATTTTCTTATCTTCATCTTGCAGTTCATTGCCTTTTTACTTGATGTAGTGATATGAAGTGTGTCAACTTAGATCGTTACTCAGTAATGGCTAGTTCTATATTGATTTGGATGGATGAATGAACCTATAATCAACCAATTATGTGTCTGAATTTTATGAGAAATCTATCCTCCAGCCAAAATATAGAAATATAATTAGTTATTCTAGTGGTTGCCAGGGTAGTCTTCAGAGTCGTTCATGGACCTTACACTGAATAATTTGAAAAAGCTGACTCTAAACATTTGAGCTGAAGCTATACTCAAAAGTAAGAAATGCAGAATTCTTTTATTAGGAGAGTTTATAAGAAACTTCACAACTAAAATTCATTCCAGTGATAACTTTATTTTCTTCAATTTTTTCTATTTTACCATTTGTCTTACCAATTTACTAGCTAGTTAAATGGTTTACTACAGTAGTCAATAATTACTAATGATTTCAATTTTACGTTGCTAAACTTAGATTGTTTTCATTGAATGGTTAAGAATTCGATCATTAGCCATTTAAGTTTCATTTCAAATATAAAAAAAACTTATCCTTTGTGATATTTAGTCGTCCTCTGTTAGCATGAGAATAATCCGATAAGGCTATACTTGGAATTATTTAGTAATAAATTCAACCTTGTTATCTTGTGTTATCTAAGGTGAAAAATCTTTTTACACATGAATTGTTTCTTCGTTTTTAGAAAGCTGCTGTAAACGCGTATCCCTACTTCTTGTCAACTTATTTGTACAATCACGTAGGTGAACTGAAAGATGACTATAAAGGTATGTTAGCTGGCTTTATCGAGTATTTTTATTTACTGAAAAGTTGAATTTGTGTGAATCCCATGTATTAGTAACTGGATGGTCCAGCAATCACCCTAGCCGTTATGTACATTTTAACCTGTAGTTGACACTGGTTATCCTACATTAACCAACAAACTGTTCAGCGTCGATTTTTGAAACGTATCTTCTTGGTTTCATCTTACTACAGCGTTCTTTCAGTTGTTCTGGCGTTTATATTATCTAAACTAAGATAGTAGGCTTCGTTTTGGCGCTGTAACTTATTGGTGTAGGCACTCGACTTTCTACTGGTGCTTTATTTGTTTGAACCCAGCTTCACTTACCGAAATTTAAGCATCCACGTAGTATTAGTCGCCTTCAAATAATGGGTGTGGCCCATTCCTTACTGCACGAATAGGCACAAGATTGCTAGATGGATTTTGACTTTTCTCTATAGACCCATTGTGACCTGGTTTATTTACAAGACTGTGACTTCTTTTAAAATAAAATAAAAACACTGTTGTACGTGGACTAACTGAAAGGATAAACAGAAAAGTTAAGTTTTTTTATGTTATCTATGCTATTAGTTTGGTTGTGTTGATGAAGTAGTTCAACTGTCTGCTCACAACTTTGGTTTCTTTGCTAATGTGAAGTATGATTAAGCAACATTATTGTGTTCAAACAGGCAGTATTTTGATGTCAGGTGAAGTTTGGTCACCTGGTATTAGTTGAATTTCACAACAAAATGCTCACGTGGATGCCCATCATACTGTGACTCCAACCTGGATATCAGTATTCAAGCTTTTTCAAATAAAACGGCTGTAAATATTAGGATTTAGTGATTATATGCAATAAATTTTATTATGCTGAGGTTTATGCATTCTTAGTAAGCAGATGATTCTAGATGGAGTGAAACGTGTGAGCTGTACCCCCGAAGTTTCATTTACATACTACTGGAAACTCACGATGTATTATTATAGAACGATTAAGGTAGTTAGGTTTGTAGGAAGTTGCTTATTGGTTACCTCGTCAAGGGGTCACACGAAACTGGCTATCTATGCGTTGCTAATTTAGATTGACTCTCAAGGGTTTCATTACCATTTTTGTCAGCTGAGAAGATGGTTAGAAGTGCAACTTTAACAATATATTAAAAATACGTTATGGTTTACTGAAACCTTCCTGTACTTTGAACTTGAAGCTTACTGATAGTCAGTAAAAGGGTTGAGAAATGTTTGCCGAATGTCATTCCAGCAATGTTTCGGACCTCATTATGCACTTATGAACCCCATATGATATTTTGCCATACTTTGGAATCATAAAGCGTCCTACAGGGTTAGTATAATCGTCCCCCCAAGTATGAATAAAAAAGTAATCTAAACCACTCAGTTTCCGCTCAATAATCAGTTGATGTCTTTCAGTTAAGTAAACCGATAAACATAAGAGATTTAAATAGGATTATTACTGAATATACAATCTCAAGAAAGTGGAGACGCAGTCTGCTTGACACAAGATCAAGAAGAGGAGCAGATGTAGGTTCAGACCACTGTCTAGTGCAAGGAACCTTCCAAATCAAGTTGAAAACCTTCAAGGAAGTTAGTGATAGACTACAGTTCAAGTTCAACACCCAGGAACTGAAGGACAAAACTACAAGGGACATCTTCACGTCAGCCATCAAGGAAAAATGGAAGACATCAAACAAAATCCCTGTAAAAACCTGCATGGATGAACAATGGAACTCTTTGAAAGCTATGTGGAAAAAAACCTGCATAACCGTATTAGGAAGGAAGAAGAAAGAAGAGAAGGAATGGATCTCGACGGAAGCTGATAAAGGAAGGAGAGGGGGATGGTAAAGCAGAAGATGAATCAATGCAAGGATGCACAACGAAAAGAGGAACTGAATACAACGTATAAAACACTGGACAAAGAAGTGAAGAAGAGTGCGCGCGAAGACAAAAGACACTTCTACGACACGGTGGCAAGTGAAGCAGAACAGGCTGTTTGTAGGAGAGACAGAGACCTGACAACATTGTATCAAATAACCTGATTACTATCTGAAATGGAAGAGATCAACACAGATGAAACCAATAAAAGATGATGAAGGAAATCTAATTACCAAAGAAGAGAAACAAGGGAAATGATAAGCTGACCACTTCGAAAAACTCTTGAATCGACCACCAACTGCACTTCATCCAGAAATACCACCTGCAACCACAGAACTATCAGTGAACACAAGCTCCCCGACGAAAGTCGAAGTCCTGAGCGCCATAAAGCTACTGAAATGTGGGAAAGCAGCAGGACCAGATGGAGTCCCGCCAGAAGCACTGAGGATAGACGCAGGGACAACAGCGGACATGCTCACACCACTATTGCAGAAGGTGTGGAAGGAAGGGAAGGTGCCTGGCGATTGGAAGAAGGGCTTTCTTGTCAAACTCCTGAAGAAGGGCGACTTAAGTCTTCGCAAGAACTGGCGCGGAATCACTCTCCTGTCCACCCCAAGTAAAATATTGAGCCGCATCATCCCGGAGAGACTAAAGAATGCACTGGATTCAAAACCACGACCGGAAAAGGCCGAATTCAGGAAGTACAAATGTGCGGACCAAATTGCAACGCTTTGCATCATCATGTAACAGAGTATAGAATTGCAGTCAACTCTTTACTTCAACTTCGTCTACTTTAAAAAGGCCTTTGACAGCATCGACCGAGAAGTAATTTGGCAGCTGCTTCAACACTACGGAATACCACGAACCTTTATCAATCTCACTCAACAACTATATGAAGATGCCACATGCCAAGTAATTCACAATGGAAATCTCAGTGATGCCTTTGAAGTGATGACTGGAGACAGGAGTAAGACAATGCTGTCTACTATCACTCATGATATTCCTGATTGTAGTGAAGTAGATCATGCAGCAAACAGTGAGGAGCGAGAAGATGGGCATACACTGTTTGACCGATCAAAAGAACTTAGAAAATTTAGATTTCGCCGATGATGATTTGTGTCTAATGTCACACAAACTTGAAGATTTACTGGAAAAGACTAACAAGTTAATAGAGGGGCAGTGAAGGAAGACGGGACGTCTTTCAGGTGAACATAAAGAAGACAGAGGTGATGAAGATTGCCAACCAACAACAAGCACCAATCACCATCAACGGGAGAAACTCAAAGGAAGTAGCCTCTTTCACCTATCTAGGCAGTACCGTTTCAACTACAGGCGGTGGCACAGACGATGACGTCAAAGTCAGCCAGGCTCGGAAAAGCAAGACAGGCGTTCATTAACCTGAAACTAGTGTGGAGGTCAACTGCACTCAGCACAAAGAACAAGATCCGGATTTTCAACACCGATGTCAAGTCAGTGCTTCTATGTGATAATTGAGAGACTTGGCGTGTTACGAAAGGGATTTCCAACGAATTACAGACATTCGTCAACAACTGCCTACGCTGGCTCGTTACTGAAGATCAGATGACCAGGAAGAATAAGCAACAAGCAACTCTGCCTGGCTGGCTGGCAACGAACCAACCAAGAACCTTTCATCCAACAAATATGCAGAAGGAAGGGGAGATGGATTGGGCATACACTGAGAAGACCATTTGGGGACATCACGCACCAGGCCAGGCACTCGATGATGATGTCTAGAAAGACAATGAAGGCTTCACTATTAAACCATCCAACCCAGCTGAGACAACATAACCAAGATCACGCACTTGGGCTACAAATATTCTCCACCACTTCATTAACATACTTTCCTAGACTCCTTACACGACTGACTGATCTACCCAGTGAACTTTTAATCGCTATAGAATTTTCGAAGCGTGGCAACTGATAAAGTAACTACTCTGAAAGGAAACCAAAATCTTTATGTTCAGGCTGTTTCAGATTCATCTCATGGTTCAAAATCTTATAGCAGCACTTTGTTGTATAAGTTCTCTGCATCAACTCCAAGCGCATATGAGCTAAGTGGTGTATAGTTAAGTATCTTCACTTATATTTCGTTAATGAAGATATTTATATCATTCATATTCAACTGCTTGTTATTTACAACAGTTCGGTGGCGAATCCCGTCGTTTTCTACTCTAATCTCCCTGTCTGCACCGAGATAATTTCTTACAAAGCTTACGAAGCATTACCACAACGACATGTTATTATTGTTAGTTAACCATGTTTTAACGCATCAATTAAGCATATTTGAACATAAATAACGCGTTAGTTGTTTCTCTTGAGCCAGCTATGCCCTTTTATTCAGATCTACTTTACAGAAACCTCCTGCTACACTTAAATACAAACTCAGAGTCTGAAGTGTCTGGTTACTTACAAATTGTGGGTGCTGCTCCATCTAGTCTGTACTGTGGACATGTTGCAGATTTATTGGATACAGTTATTCGTGCTTGTCGACCATCTTCAAAGACGAAATTTTGGGTTGATTCTCGTGAATCTGCTTTAAAAGCCATTGTGGAGTAGGTTCAGCTAGTCACCTATATTTTCAGCTTTTCATAATTCAAAAGTTAATTTTTCTGTCATTGTTTTAACTCTCAACTTCTTCTCAGCATTTAGCTGAAATGGGGTTATCTTTTAATTTCCTAACTGTCTAATGTCAAGTGAAATGATTCAATCTTGAAAAATAATATACGTTGGTCGTCTAAAATATGGCTCATAATAAAAGAGCTATATTTCTAATTTCTTATTGGTTTTCTATGGGATTTTAACAAACTATTTTACCTTTTAGCGTTCATGGCACATAGTCTGACAAATTAGTCGGAAGTTATTTTTTAAATCTAGAGTTTATACGAGTACTATTAAAATTTCCAAACGTATATCGAGAGCTAGAGTGGCATGCTTCAACGTAGGTTCAAGGTTGTCATGAAGTTAGTCTCTTTGTAAACATTTGGGTGTGAAAACCGTTTATGTGAGTAGTTCTGCTGTACGTTTGTGAAACCTGGCACCTCTGAGTTCAGGATATTTGACGACTCTGGGTAGTTAATCACCGTCATCTCCGTACGATTGCTCGCAGTCAATGCAAACACCATGTAAGTTATCTTGATGTGAGATGAAGTGTGTTTCGATGTGATTGTGTTCCTTATTCACCGAATGAGGTTATCATGAATAATCGATTCCAGTGACTTGGATATGTGTTATGAATGTCGTCCCCAATGGCTGCCAAACCGCCCACTGTTTGTCAACCGTTAAACTTGTTGATGTCAGTAGAGAGTTGATCATTGTATAATTTGCCACTATGAATTGAGGGATATTTGTGATAGTTTATCATCTGTAGATTCCTCACGACTCCCTTGATGCGTTTGCGAAAATTATGCAGTTCAGTGACTCGAGAGATTAATGGACATGACTCAGGATCGAAAGCAGTGGCGATCATATTGTAGTTTTCTTGCTTCTTCTACCATCGAGAAGTAAAACGACAATACCGAGTACTTCCTTGTGTGTAAGTTTGAGATTGCTTCTTTAATAACGTATTCATATTTTGCTGATTTACCCTTTTTCTGTCCTTTTCTTTTTCCTCCCCATAATGTTGTTGCCTTACTTTGTCTGGTATATCTCTTGGTGTCCAGCTTGTATGAAGTCTCTGTTTTAAATAAATAAAACAACTGAGCGCTTTGCATTACATTATGTGCAAGTAATTTACAGTTTGGACAACTAAAAGCTATCAGTGACGTGAAACCTGGCATAGTTGCTTATCTATCCAAATAGCTTCAAATCATAGCAACAAGGCGAGCATTCAAAAAAGAATGACAGTGAAGTCGACGAAATGTTTATGAGGGGAAAGAAAAACATGTTGTTTGAGATTATTGACAATATTCCACTTTTCGAGGATTATGAAGGGTGATCATTGCTGATCCAAGTTACTAAGAATCTCCACTCACTGACATCTCAAGAAACCTAACCATATAGTCTACACCAGCGTACGTGACCCAGAATAATATCAATGGTATTTCTATCTTAAACAGAATGAGATCATAGTACTTATCGAACCTCACTTTTATGACAGTAAAGCCATCTAATTTGAATTATCTTGTTCTCTTCCACCTTTTCCGAATAAATTTTGATATTTTAAATATACTACTCGGTATTTTTTTCAGCAGGTTTGTTGTTTACTCGTTGTTAGTGTCCCAGTTCAGTTCATCTTGCATCCTTACTACACTGAACACTTATTCGATTGTTTATAATTTGGTCGTAATGCTTTACTTAACATTTCAGCATTCTGAAAAACCTTGGATCACACCATGCAGAAGTGAACATAACACTTTTGAAATGTATAATGCCTGTGTTACTTCATTCTCTTTCCGACTACACAACGAATGCTCGTGGTGATGTAGGTTCTCTGTAAGTAAGCGGTAATTTTTCTGATGTTTAATATGCTATTCTAATATCAACCTTGCAATATTTTTATGTAAGGCAGTTCTCGTAACTATGTATTATGAAGTAGGATTGGTTGTATGTTTTTTCTGCCTTTAGACTTAACAATACTGTGTACTTCCAAATGTTGAGTTATCAGACTCAAGATGAATGGATTTCACATTAAAGTACTTTATAATTCAATAACTATGTCATTGCTTATTGGTCTCCAGGAAGCCGATGGTACAACGTAACTATCTTCAAACTGTCATTGCTGTGGTAGAGCTGTAGCTCATTGATTCAGGCAGCTGACATTAAACCGTAAGGTTACAGTAATCATGGATAGTGGCTAGCAGTGGAATCCAAAATGCGCGTTACGTCCTATTCGAGACTTGTCAACTGGATGTACCTGACTCCCAGTGAACAGTGGCGTTTGAAGCGGCCTGTCCCGAGTTCTTGTCCCAGTGAGCACGACATCACTCACTTTATAGAGACTGATCAATTTGGTCCAATCAACGATAGGATAATACAAGCAACAACATCGAAACTATACTCGTCACACAAGAAGTGGTTATCGTGGCTTGGTGGTTCAGTGGATAACTATGGCGTTTGAATCAATCGCTCCTGAGATTAAGTCCAAGTGAAAACAGCACTCACTGAGAGGCAGGTACATCCAGCTGACGAGTCCCAAATAGGGCGGAACCGGCGTTTTGGATTCTACTACTCACCACTTTCCATCATTATTGTGGGAATAAAACACAAGCAATATCGAGGCATCAACGCAGGAGCTCTTATGCCAATAGAGACCGATTAATTCGGTCCAACCAACGGCGGGATAATACAAGCAACAACACCATTGGGTTATAAGTTGGGACCCAGCTCCACCCACCAATGTTTGGGCAGTCAGGTAGTATCATCACTAGCCCTCACTTAATAGGTATGGCTCATTGCCTACTGCATGAATGTGCAGTGTTGATGAGTGGTTTCTTATTCAATATATATTGGGACACACATGGATTGCGGCATCTTGTTTTGTCGTGTGGATTCGCCTTTTAACTAAGGTTGTGTGTTTGAATCTCCTCTGAAATTTGATTGGTGTGCAGGATGTCCATAAATCTGTGGTTTATTTCTGTTTACAATTACAATTATCATTAAAAATTTGGTTTTAGTTATTATTTTGTGTCTGGGTTCAGGGAGTCATTGAAATATCAGTGAAACTGTGTAAACAATCAAATATCATCAATAAATCGGTAAAACTAGAGTCTTTCTGTGTTTAGCAATAGTAAATTCAATGGTAAAAAAAAGAGATTTTGTTTCCATGTTTTGTTATGTTACATATGTAACTATATTTGTGAACTGTTTCCGTTGAATTTTCGATCCCTGGCGGGGTCGTGGGTGCGCACTGCTGAAGAGTCCCATACTAGGACGAAACAGCTGTCCAGTGCTCCCAGGTTTCCTTTGTTCCCCCAACTGGTGTCAGTCTACGATGAATAACTACTTGAAATGTTCCCGTTGTATCTTGTTATCTAGGTTTCCTTTTTCATGCCAAATTTCAGGTCTATTCACAGCCGAAGACTGTGAACCATTGAACTCTGACCAAGTGGCTGAATGGTTAACTTGTTCACCGTAGAACCTAAAGTTCATGAATTCGGTCCTTAGCTATGTCATGAGTACGTACTGTTGAGGAGTCCTATACTGGGACGAAATAGCTGTTCAGTACTCTTAGGTTTTCGATGTTAGTCCATGATGAATACTACCTTGAAATTAAAATTCACATTAACCGCAGAATATTAATCTGTAATACTTATACTTTACACTGTGTGGACTAATTGTTTACTTTTTTGTGCAGTGTTCGTGAAGTTGGAATGAAGTGTTTGGAGTCGTACATTGATTTCCTCCTCAACAGTCAATACAAAGATCTTATTACACCAGATGTGTAAGTTAACTTCTTTGTTCACCTATGCACAACAATTGGCTTTTTTTAATCAAATATTATATCTTACCATTCTCATATTATTTTTACCGCTCAGGATTGAAGAAGTTATGATTGGTATAGCACAGCAAGCTGTGGAAAAAATTGATCGAACACGAGGTGTAGCAGGTGAAGTATTCGCTTCTTTGCTTCATCATGAGTAAGCGCTAATCATTATGCTGCTTTGTTATTGATTCTCTTCAATTGATGTATTTTCTTTTGGAATGCTGATCACTCGATCAACTTGTAATAAGTGGAAGATGTAATAGACTACTTGTTATCTCATTGCGTTGACATTGGAATGCACTCATCTGTTATGTAGCGATAAAAGGCAGCCAATAGGGGAGTTGTTTTCAAGTAATGATCAGATCATGTTCACGCCATGATTTATGCATGCGCTGACATGAGAACCTGATTGGAGAAGTTCGACCCCATACAAGAAATCAGATTGGTTCATTTATGGCTTCACTTTCTGAGAGTTTTGTAAATACATAGATGTCATGTATTTGCCTCATAAAAAAAGTTGTCGCTGTTGTTGCAGTCACAGGCCGCCTTTTGTCTTCTGATTTTACGCGGCTTAGTGAAGCAGAAGGTACTGAGGGAGGTCAGTCGTAAAGGTATTCGGTTGAGGTGTCTTTTGAGTCTCAGTATTCATTATACCCACACCCCAGCAACCACCACTTGATCACAACATCACCAACCTTATGCACATTTGTGCAATAGGTAATAAGCCATACATGCTGTATGAGGACTAGTAATACTACCTGCCTGCCTAATCCTTGGTAGGTAGAATGGTACTCTAACATGTGGCCTAATGGTTAAAAGTGATCTTTCTAAACCAGTGAGCCACAACTTTCAAGTGGACCAAGTAAAAAAACCTAAGGATATAATCATAAAAGATTAGGTAAAAGGATAAAACAGAACAAATAGGTTTACGATAAGTAAAATGTTCACATTTTGATTCATATCTGTGCATATCAGCGAACATGTATAAGTTTATGTTGTAGGCTACCAGCTAAACTTATTTTCTAAGATTAGAGTTAAAACTTTTCTTTATAGGTGTCATTAGGTTGGGTGAGAATTGAATTCATAATCTGGTAGGCTAAATGTCAAGTACTCAATCCAAAAAGTTGTAAAGTTTACTCGCTTCTGATGTACTACTCACAACTGAGTTATGATTATCAGTTGGTCATTCATGAACTAAAATTTCCAATCATTGGTTTTTTTAATGATATCATTCTTCTCAAATAATTCACACAAACACAAGCACAAATTAATATAGAACCTAACAAAAATCTGCATCAGTTTAAGTTGCTACATTTGATAGACAAGAGGTGTTTAAAAGAAGTGATAGAAATGTAGAAACGGTTGATAAGAATTTGAAAGAATATATGAATCAAAGTAAATGGAAATGTCTAAGAAATCGAAGATAACAAAGTATGTACGTCTGTACCGTTGTGATCAATTTTGAGCTATATCCACAATTCCTATTACCTCAAGGACCCTCAGTCAAACAACAAGCATGTTTCTGTATATCTCAAACCCACAATCTGAAACTAGTGCGATTTCTTAGTCTTATCCACTTCCCAAACTAATCCAACTTTGGCTGACATTAGGCGTCGAACAGATGGTCCAGCTTGGGAAATATACATAAAAGCTTTCTAAATTTGTTATAGTTTCGAAGAGCTAATGGTATATGTATATGTTCCAGAACGAATATAATGCGTGCGCTCAGCTGACAGCTAACTTGGTACGCAAGAGACATTGACTACAACCCCGGGGCGAATAGAGAGAAGACCGAAGCTGGCAGATGGGAGAGTGTATTACTCCGCGAATATAATAATAATAATAATGAATCAATCCAAAACACGTGAATAAGCATACACATGAAAAATGACCTTGTCCGCAATTGGAGAAATTCGCATAGTAAAAGTTAACCAATCAGCGAATTACATTACAATGGAGGCAGAAAATAGACTATTTAGTCATACCACAAAAACGATATGGGAATGACACATTAATAACAATGTTTTATACAAAACTGAGGCATCACAACAAAATTATTGACAGTTTATAACCTTATCGTTTGATTTACCTTTCTTTACGCTTTACTTTAAGAGACTAATGATTTAAAGATTATTACGGCTAAAAATTTGAAGATATTCTGGCTTTAAAAGAAACCAGAGTAACCATTTATATCTCTTTTAGTGTTTTGATCTTATCAATGGATTATATTGAATACAGCAGTTTCGTTAAATGTGAGATATCATTTCAAAATCTTTTATCAACTTGTCAGTGTATTGACGTATAAAATGATTACTATCTTATAGCCTCTTTTATGATTACCTAATTTTTGTTATTTTGGAATTTTGAGAGCATTGTAACTTTTGTTTCTTTTTTCTTTGTTTTTCTACAGCCCTCCAATTGATCAAATACCTAATTTTGAGGAATTAAAACAAATTTTTCCAAAGTAAACTTCATTTTTTTTGGCTTTTCATGATATCTAATAGTCAAAGTGTAAATTATTTCCACCCAACTTTGTTCGTCTATTAATGGTATAAAGTTATCATTGTATATAATATTGAATTGGTTTTAGTTACTTAACATATCAGCTAAAGTTTCGTGATGAAGTGGAAGTTTTTGTGTTTTTGTAAAGTATTACATTCAACATTGCTTTTAAGAGTAAGCTGAAAAGTATTTATCATTGAATATTGAAGAATGGTCATTTTAGAAACATCTTTAAGAAGTAGTCTAGTGAATGATGTTGAAATTAAATAAAATACTTTTGATGAAGTTGACAGGTGAACTTATTAAGAATAACCCGCAACTTTTTCGTGCCTTAATGTATATGAAAGTTTATTTGCTCTAGTGCAACTATGTACATAAACCATACCAAGCATGCTTTCTTCAAATGCATACGAGATAACTATTGCACATTTGACTTTGACTATGAATAGGATATTTTAAATGAATTAACGGTATTTCAGTGTTTAAACAACTGGTTAGTTTCTTTTCAACGGTTCACAGAGATTAGGAAGAACTTGAGAAATGATAAAAGTGTGCGAGTGAATTGATGCTTTCCAGCTGTACACATTATAGATCATGGTCTTTAAATTCCTTAAGAATGGAAATGTATCGTTTACCACAGTCTAAAGTACACTAGTATGATACACAATATCAGATAATGAAACTCAGTATCTTTCATAGTGCAATAAATAATGTGAAAACATTTAAATGTCTTCATAAAAAGTTTATTATGCATTTATTATTCATTTGTCTACTTGATTTCTCTTGTGGATCACAAAATAATTTGGCGAAGAAAATATTCTTTCCGAGAAGTCATTTTCATCTGTTTTAAAATCAATCCTATTTATAATAACAACAAATAAACAGATGAGTCTATTGATGGCTAATAGTTCAGCAAAACAGATTGCTCTAGAGTGAAATAGTGGACTGATGGTTTAATTGGGAAGGGGTTGCGTAATCAAGCATTTATAAAGAAAACATGCAGCAGATTAATATGATGACTAATAACTTAAAAAATAATACTATAATTATAATGAATAATCTGAGCAAAGTATTGTCAGAATCTTAGTAGGAGATTTGGAGCTAACATGTTAAGATGTTGGGAAACCAAAATTACCAGTGACTTTCGGTGTGACTTCACTGCCACTGTTTGATATTGACAGTGGTTTAAAGAGCTACAGCGGCTGCAAAAATTTCTCCATGACTTCCTACTACTCCAGTAAGATCTCTTAGGTAGTAGTATAACTAAAAGCAGCTATCGTTCTTACCTTATAATTGGGGTCAGAGAGAGTTCTGATGTTGGCTGCATGGCGTGCGACAGCAGAAAGGTGTTTCCCGATGATAATTAACATTTCAAGTTAACATTACCTTCAAATTATGCATAGAGGAGGTTAGAAGTGGGTGGTCTATTCAGTTATGTCAGTTTACATGGGAAAGTGCTGTAGGAAATGGTCATATAAGTGAAAATACAGTTGTTATTGTTGAGATGCAGAATTAATGAAACTCAGAGCATTTTTTATAATGCAATAAATAATGTCTTATTTATTCATTATCTTCATAAAAAGTTTGTTATGCATAAAATGCATTTATCATTCGTCTGGTTGACAGAAGAAGCAGCGAAAACAGGACTACAAGTGAATGTAGAGAAGACGGAGGTGATGAAGATACCCAACCAACAACAGCGTGAACGACAAGCACTAATCATCATGAACGGGAGAAATCTAAAGGAAGTAACCTCCTTCACCTATCTAGGCATCGGATGGCATCGTTCCAACTACAGGCAGCACAGACGAGGATGCCAAAATTAGGATGGGAAAAACAAAACACGCTTTCATTAATCTGAAATCACTGTGAAGACCTACTGCACTCAGCATGTGGAACGAAATCCGGATTTTCAACACCAATGGCAGTCAAGTCAGTGCTGATATATGGTTCAGGAACTTGGCGTGTCACAAAAAGCATTTCCAACAAACTACGGACATTCATCAACAGCGGCCGCCCATGCTCACTCGATACTGAAGACTAGATCAGAAAACCGGAAAGAATAAGCATCAAGGAACTCTGGCTGGCTGGCTGGCTAGCTAGCTAGCTGACAACGAACCAATCAAGAACCCATCACCCAACAAATATGCAGAAGAAAGTGGAGATGGATTGGGCATACACTGAGAAGGCCGAACGGCGACATCACGTGTCAGGCCAGGCCAGGTACTCGAGTGGAATCCAAAGAGGGAACGACAAGTTGGGCGTCTGTGGCCAGGGTGATATGCAGGCGATCGTGTGAGGAAGAAATGAAAGCTTGTGGGCAGTGGTGGAGGCAGGTTGAAAAGACTGCAGAGAGCAGAGTGGAATGGAGATGTGCTACTGAAACCCTATGCTCCACTAGGAACGCAAAGGGAAAATAATAATACGTGTTTTTGTATTAAGGTATACTATTTGTTTACTATGCTGATCAAATGCTTATGGAGCACATCTTTCATTTTAGACTGTTGCAACTAAAATCCTCAGATATGCGATAAATTTTACAATGAGCACATCAAATTGTTTGTTTTCCAATAAAATCCACTTCGTTTAACTATGTTTTATTCCTTAAAAATCAGATTGTTTCCAAAGCTATAAGTTCACTTATTTAACTATATATTATCTATGTATTTTAATGTTTCCAGGGATTTTAATTTTGAGGTAGTACTCACCATGAACTGATGTCATTTGGGCATCACTGTACAGCTGTTACGTCCTAGTATGAGACTCCTCAGTAGTATGTCATTTAGATTAATTGGTCTGCAGTTACTCATGTGTTTGTTTGTTTTTTCTTCTGAAAATTACCTTATAGATCTGATTGTGACGATATAATATGGAGATCGCCTAATTTAACTTTTCCACGTTTCACAAAGTTATTGGATTTTCCAAAGTATCGTTATCGTTTAATTCTAGGCTTAATTGTTAGTGTCGGTGGGTTAACAGAATTAACGGTTAGTGAAGGTGCATATATTTTCAATGCCTTGAAATTTTAACAAACTTTATTATATCATTTATTGATACTTGTGATTCTGGTTTTCAGGATCGAATTGATTGACTTCTGTTGCCATATGAGTTCCTATAAGGATGCCTCGTTACTACCTGTTTATTGATTGTGTTGTAATATGCTCGGTGGTGGAATCTAGCTAGCAAATTACAGTATCAACAATAATTAGGCAATATCAAGGCATCCTCATAGGAACCCCTATGCTAACGGAGGTCGGTCAGTTGGATCCAGAAAAACAACGGGAAATTGCCAGTGCTAAATTGTAGTAATAATAACTGATACCCGTTGCATAAGAGGTGGCTGTCGTGCTCCAGTGGCCCACAGGGATAGTGTTTGGCATTTGAAGCGATGGCTGCTAGGTCTAATTCTTATCGGGAATAACACCACTCATTTGGATGGATGTGCGTTGAACTGATGAGTCTAAAATAGGACAAAATATGCATCCTAGATTCTAATGCTCGTCACTACCAACCAAAGCTTTATGAAACTGACAGAAAAAACTACCACTACTTCTACTACCGCCAGTTTGACTAATTCGTGTCGTTTTACTGGTAATGTGTATAAACACTGAAGAATAGTAGTCCTGAATACGTGGCAATTTCTATTGTTCATCATCTATTTCAGCATATCAATACACTTTGATATGAGTCATTTATGCGATACAGTTTCTGCTTACCTGTGGTGTATAATCATTGAGAAATTGTCAGCTAATTTATCTATGGACGTTATTCTTATCTTTATAATAATTGAAGTGAGATATATCAATACCAGTGCATAATATAAAAGTTTTTTACGAATAAACTTTGAGATTGAGTTTATTAGTCGAATAACTATCATGCTTACCAATATAAGGTCGTTGTTTTAAGATCACTGTCCGCATATACATGTAAAGATGATGGTTTCTGCAAAGTAATCAACATTCTTTATATATATATATATATATATATATATATATATATATATATATATATTGAAAAACGTTACCACATGCTTTCAACTATATGCGTCCTGTATATTTCCTATTTCATATGTATTCCTTGATCTTCCTTATGATTAGGTTCGATACGGTACTGAAGCCTTAAGTAAATATCTACTTGATCATGAATTGGACCAACCATTTATCACTGAAATTTTGGAAATTGTTGAACGTATCCTGGAGTCGTTTTCTCAAGAGGAAAGGTAATACAACTATGAATAATATAAGAAGATAGAGGATTCAGTATAAAATGAGTTGTCTCTGTTGTATTATTTCATTTTACCTAGTGAAGAGGAATGAATTTAGGCTCCACTAGTCGTGTTTCAGCTTTTAATCATCATACTGAGTGATGATTAGAAGTGAAATAAAATTTCGGACCGTGGTGGGACTTGAACCAGTGACCACTATGTTTCTGGTCCGGTCGTCTACCAACTGAGCTACAAGACTCGACTGTTGTGACCATATTTTTATTTCACTTCAATCGGTAGTCAGGCAAAACCCTTGATGATTGGAGTGAATTAAACATCTGGTCAACAATCGGGTCTTGTAGCTCATTTTTGTAGAGCCCTGGGTGGAAACTTGATGGTCGCTGGTCCCTCCATGGCCCAAATTTTCATTTCGCCTCCAATAATCACCCAATATCAATATTAGTCTATCAAACCATGATAAATTCGGTAAGGTTAAACTTTCTAGTTACTGAGATAAACATCCCCTTAACCTCTGCATAATAAAATATTTCTGGCTTATAACAGTTAAAATAGGCATGGAAACAATAATTGAATATTCGGCATACTTCAGATATATTTTTGTTTATTTTATGTTTTTTTCTAATCTTACAGGATTATTTTGCCATTGTTCAAATTTCTGGACTTTTTACTCAATGATCCAATTGTTAGCTCAGCAATTGACGAAAAAAGGTGAGTAGTTCATTGTTTCTCATTGTTTCTGCTATTCTAATCCTTTTCAATTTATCTGCAATTGATTGGTGTTGAATTGTTCCCTTTCGTAACAATGACAACCGTAACTAACAATTCAATTGGAAGAATTTTTTTGACTTTATAAACAATTGTCTGTTATGAAATATTAGCATATTTAATTAATTTGTTTAACTCTCCCGAACGACAAAACAGAGCACTCATCATTTCCTTGACATACAAGAAACTGACAGATATGTATCTAGAGGTAGTATTCATCATGGACTGACATCAGTTGGGGAAACATTGAAAATCTGGGAGCACTGGACAGCTGTTTCATCCTAGTATGGGACTCCTCAGCAGTTTGCACCCACGACCCGGCTAAAGATGGAAGTCACGACCTTAAGGTTTTACAGCGAACGCGTTAACCATTCACCCATTGGGTAGATTTTCAATGGTTTACAATTTCTAACTTCTGTCAATTCACGATATAGCGTGACTATCACCCAAGGTTTTCAGTTAACATCCGCTTCACTTCCGACTGGTTGAATTGACAGGAGTTGGAAATTGTAAACCACTGAAATCCGACCCAGTGGGTGAATGGTTAACGCATTCGCCGTGAAACCTGGAGGTTGCGACTCCTATCTCTAGTCGGGTTGTGGGGGCATACTGCTGAGGAGTCCCATACAGGGTCGAAACAGCTGCCCAGTGCTCCCGGATTTCCAATGTTTCCCCAACTGATGTCAGTCCATGATGAATATTACCTCTGAATTAAAAATCCCCATTCATCTCAAAGAGATATATATATTTGAACATAATAATAATAATAATAATAATAATTCACTTTATTCTAAACAATTTATGGTACAATTTGGAATTCTCAGCGTAGTGTTTATCAATAAACTAGCAGAATCATGGAAGCAGTTTTATTCGAAAACTATTACCTCGTTTTCTCAGGTTCACTGTCACATATATGCACATATTTCTTTCTAGTCTTTGAATATAATCAGATATTGTTATAGGCTATGAATGGCTGGTATTTATCAATTCCACTGTACTTTTCGCATAAATGGCATCAAGCGTAGCATTACTACCTAACGGTTCAAGTGGTTACATCAGTATACCGAGTCGGAAGTCAAAAACCGTTAAGACCGATGTTTGAAAATAGTTGTGTATCAATAATTGTGAAGAAGATGAGAAAAATAAAGATATTTAATGTGATGGTTTGTGACCTGCTGTCGAACTTAGCTATATATACCTTACTGAAACCACTGACTTCTCATGGACTTATCTCTTCCCAGGAGGACATGTAATAGATTCGGGGTACGCAGACAAGGTACTAGGCATGAAGATAAGTCGATGGATGAGGTTGTACATCTTCAGCGACTGAGGTGGCTTGGACATGTTTTGCCCATGCCAAGCGACAGCCTACCTCGACATGCATGGGTAGCAGAAGTTGGATTAACATGGAAGAAGGTTCAGAGTCGTCTATGCCGTGTTGTGAAAGGTGTAGACTGTCTGCTTGGACGGGGTCCTCAATGGTTAAGGATTATGGGTAACACAATTGAAAGTTGGTCACAATGGCGCAAACGTATTCACTCTTTGATTTCTTGTAAGGCTTGAATGTGTTGATGACTAACCATACTTTTTAAATTCTACTTCCTCTCATTCACCTTTGCCTACTCTGATTTCAGTCTTTTCTTATCCACTTGTTCTTTGAATGCTACTGTGAAGTGTGAGAACTTGAACCAGTGTACTTGAATGAGAATTCTATATGGGCCTTGTTTGTCTTTGTCTCCGACAGACATGACACATATGCATGAATGGATGTGTTGTTTCTGAACAAGTCATAAATAATTCTTTTAGGTGTAACAACGCCCCCGTTGATGATTCCTTTCCTATAACAGTATAGTCTTGCTGGTTTTCTTTTAAGTGTCACCGTGAATATGTTACTTTAAACCTAAGTACTTGCTGTTATGTAACTGAGCTTGATTAGATTAATTGGTGGAACCGTTTCTTAAAACTTCTCGAAGTCTATGTATCGCAGTTACAATCCATATTTTTCCTGTCATCTTAAAGTAATACTTCTATTGCGTATTAAGTGAAGATAGTTATTTCATAATTGGATTCTGGAAATAGGATAATTAGCTGTACGATTTCGTCGGAATTCAACTTTTTTCGTAAATTTTTCCTGTCTGGTACACTGTTGAGCTACAGAATATCTTGACAACCTGTTTTTTCTTTGTAAAATGAGTCGATGAAGTGGTTTGTACACGTATTACGCCTGCCGACCCACGATCTACCTCAACCTGCCATGTTTACTTCAATAAAGCTAAGTTAAAGGAAGGTTAAATGCGGTCAAACCAAGAAGTGACACCAGTCCACAAAGTTTTTGACTCTATGTTTTGAGTCGTTTAGGGAGATGTTGGCTGTGTGGCTGAGGTTCTCGATATGATAGGAATCAGCGCTCATAGACTATTTATGTTATTACTTAGAATCGGTCACCCTGATTGTGAAGCATACACCTTTTGTCATCCCCAAAGTTGGACATTTTCATCAAACACCATATATTTATTCTCTTATCTACTTTGGTATCATTCTTTTTCATCCATTCTGCTGTGTTAGGCAGCTTCTTGAACTACTAACACACTCTGTACTAGGGTGTATATTGATCTCTCTGTTATCTTATTGTATAAAAGCATTGGTCGGAAAAAGTACTATATTCACGGAAGTCACATAAGTCAGTCTTACATGTTCTTTTAAAACAAATCGTTTAGGATTCTCAACTTGTGAAAACAATTGTCCGACTACTTATTAAAATGGGATATTGAAATTGCCAAGTAGGCATCTTTTATTCACATTGATCATCAGTTAGTTTCCACATAGTGTTAATAAACTCCCAAGTTGTTTCCTTAGTCTTGTATATTTATTAGCTGTGACTATCAGCGTGCATTAAATATGAATAAATTCTGCATAGGGCGTTGTGTACAATAAGCATGAAAAATATAAAGAAAACAGTTATGCTCCAGAATTTATTTAAAAATTAGTAACAACACATAAAAAATACGAAGTTGTAACATAAATGGTGACGGCAATACAAGTAGAGAGGAGTTCAAGGTTTTTATTTTGTATCCATTGACGAAATAAACATCAGAAATTTAACGTAAGGCTTGAATCAAGGTGGCATTCAGACCTACAAACTCATTCGTAAGGTTAGCTTTTTCATTTGTTCACTCGATTAAAAACAATAAATTTGATCTACCAAATACCAAACGACGGCTATGAGCTGAATTACTGCGAGTCAAACCAACCGAGTAGGGTCAATTAGATTATCGGAGCACAGGAAGGTAGCCAAATGTTGAGTGATAGATCCCATCAAGATCACTAACCTTGGGTAAAACCCAGCTATTTCAGTGCTTGCATTGACAAAAAGTCATACAATAGGGAGGGGAACACGATAATCTCATGGTTAGGTGGAGAAAGAGATTGATTATCGATTCTTCGTCCGTCGAATCAGTATCCAATACGTGATAGGCATAATGCAACATCTGTATCGAAGATTTAAATAGCTTTATGACTTCTACAAACACAGGTACCGGAAGTTGTGTGATTATTGTGTTATGATTATGAGCAATAATTGACATTGGAAACGTCATTCAATAAACAATGCTCAATCATTGTTTGGTCTATCATGTAAACCAATCTTATGTGGGATTACATTCTGCCACAGAGTGCATATTCCCCCCTTACATTAAGAAAGAAATACTTATTAGTACTTTTTATTGTAATCTTTTGTTTTCGATTGTCATTTTTGGCGTAGATTATAAAGTGTACTTTTAGGTAGTTCACAAGTCTCGGATTTTTGTATTATATTCCACTTATCTACCACACCTTTAAATTTATTTGTCTTTTTTTACACTATGTGTAAGTGAGAATGCAAAGTTATCGTCTAATAATAATAGCAATAATAATAGCTTTATTCCAAACGGTGTGTATGATACAACACGGAAAATTTAAACAAATTCGCCTTCCGTACAATATTTCTGAAAGAAATAATTATTACCTCTGCATAGTGTTAGTAAAAAGAGTATTGAAGGCATAAATATGAAACGATCAGCTAGTGGTACATTAGGATCTGTTCTCGATTCGAAAATGAATGCAAAGTCGAGTGTAATTTTAATAATAGCAGTTCAGTCAACCAGCACTGAAATTCATATGTATCCTGGGAATAATAATGTGGTGCATTTTTGAGCATTTAAAAATCCATTTCCAGCTGGCGGAACGCTTTTCCTTTCTTTTGTTCGTAGCTTGAGAAACGACAGTTCAAAAATGTGTTATAGTATATGATAGGTTCAGAAAGCATTTCAAAGATTAAAACAAACTGAAAGGGGAAGAGTGTGATAGGATGTAATCGGTATCCCAAGATTTAAGCAGGCCGTGTGAATCTAGAAGAATGATTGAGGAATCGACTAAAACGGTTTAAATACAGGATTTGCTGATGTCTATGATAAATATTGACTTACTTAGTTCGGATGATGACCCTTTTCCTAATCACAACTTAAAGAATATCGGAATTTAGAACAGCTGACCAACTGACTGCATACTTCTGCTTTTCATTACCTAATAATAATTTTCCAGTTAACAATCAAAAATAATCACTATGCAAAGAATTATATGTGAATATACACGACATCGAATATAAGCTTTTTTGTAGTTGGTTATGAAGCAGAATTGTTGTTTAAGGAGGTTAAGATTGTTATTTGAACTCCCAGATCGAAGTAGGTAGAATTAGATCGCAACCTGAAAGTCATATGTCTTACTTTAATGAACCATGATGATAATGCGCCTTAACCACAGAATCTGGGTGGAATTCCTGTACTCTGAGATCGTTTAATTTCCTTATAAGGAAAGAAAATTTCCGGTAAATATTAACGCTATGACCGGTAGTACGACTTAACAGTCTAAGAGCAACACGAACCTAAGTGAAACGAATAGATTCTAACGCGAATTAGAACGTCAACTACCAGTACAATACTTCGAACGTCCGAAGACAGGAAGTGATGGCAGACCGTTGACAGAGAGCTTTTCATTTTCTCAACAATAGTCAATACAGTTGACAGTGATGCTGAATATATGCATTTCCAAATGACCCTGACAACACTAAATCCACATATATGTTAAAATAGTTAACCACCAATAAGAGTTCAGCCTTGAGAGAAGACGGAAGAAAAACTAGCCGCAGCGTGAAAATAGCCGTGTAGGTCATTTCAAGGTCATGGACAATACAGTAGACAAAAGCTATGCAAAATTAGGGGGGTATAGCAACTATTAATGTTTCGTTTTTTTAATCTTTCCGCAAATATTTTTAGTCCAATTCTTTTAAAATTGATCGAAAACATCTGGAATGAGATTAAATCTACGAATAACATACAACGGATTAAAGCTGGCATTGAAGTGTAAGTTATCATTTATTCTTCAGTAATACAAAAGTGTCAGTGCCTATGTCAACATGCGTAATCTTATGCATATCTGTCTTCAATATGACTATCCCATTGGTTTCCGTGATATGAAGATTGAAGTTTTTTTTTCCGATTATGGTTTTGTCTAGTCATCAATTGGTATGATGATCGAAATTAGGTTAACTTTTACTTATCTATGAAATTGAAACAGAAACTGTTCAGATAACAAAATCAGACGCATTTTGGAATTTTGATGATGTATTTTCTGAGTTTTCGATACATTTATTCTGAGATTGTTTTCCCCTCTCTTTTAATTCAAAATTCGCATATCATTCAATATTGATATTCAAAGACTCAATGTTTAGTAAAAACTTACCAAGGAATATCTTTTTGCATATCTTCTGATGCCATTTTCGGGGTTCACGTTACTAGCATCAAATTGTTTTACTAGCTTTCTATTAGCTGTTTCATTGAGTAAAGATTGAGCTTTGTGCTCTGTTATACTGTGTATAAGTCTAATGGAAAACAGAAAATCATCAGTATTCATGTAACTGACAATGGATCTGTAAGTTTCTATTCATTTGGCTTCTACATCATTGGTTCGAACATCATACGTCATACAGTAGTAAACGGTCCTAAACAGCATTTAGTAATGTTATTATTATCACTGCATTTGCGTTATATAAACGGTAAATAGATTATGAAGTTTTATAACCATTATTTAAATACGTATTGATACCACTTAGAAAAAATATTTTCTAGTTATTGTGATATCTTCATGTATGGTGTTACAATTTAACATACCAGATCGCTGCTATGGTAGAGAAGATTCGTAACTCAGCATTGGGATGGTGATTGTTTGTTCTCTGAGCTTAAAGGTTCGTTTTTGGACGTTTCATCACCAAACTGGATGACTTCATCAGCATTTACTTCATAAAGGACGAAGCTCGGAGAACACATAACAGTTATCAGATAACTGATATTCATTAAAGAGAAAAGTACTTAAACCAATGATGATGTTATTCGCCATACTATTTTTAATTTCAAACGTTGCTGTAGTCAACAGATTCAACTTCCAGCTAAAGTAAAATTTCTATGGGAAAAAGGCTACTTCTACTACTACTATGGAGATCGCATTATATCGCGAAGTGACCGAAGTAGGAAAATGTTGACCATTGGATTCTGACCCGGTGGCCTAATGACAACTTGGAGCCTGGAGATCCTGGATTCGATCCCTGATGGGGCCGTGAGGGCGCACTCCTGAAGAGTCTCATACTAGGACGAAACAGCTGTCCAGTACTCCAACGTTTTCAGTGGTTCTCCAGTTGATGTCAGCTCTCATGAATACCAACTTGACAGTACTATTCCACAAAGTATTCCTTGTTGAATTATTACGGCTAGATAAAAATTTCAGGTGATGATGGGATACTGCAAATATAATTGTAGAACTTAAGGTGTTGATTATTCCCGTGTAAATATCACACAAGCTTGTTACTACTTTGCTTATTTGGTTAATTCATAATCTTAAAATTAACTCTGAATCATTTTGTCACAACTTTCAAACGGGGATCATTAACATTTTCTTACGCGGAAAAACTTAAAAAATTCTATGTAAATGATTAACCGTTATCTCCAAGTTATATTAATTCATTGGCCATTGTATTTAGCATAGTTAATTTATCATTGTAGTAATTCTAATTTCTTACATGCATAAAATTGCATCACAGTGAATAACTTTCATATTGACCCTGTAAAGTAACAAGCAGCTAAACCGAAATGATTTGCTTATTTACAACTTACAATACAAGTGATTGCATACAATTCTTCCCCTTCATAATTTTAAAATAATGGAATAGAATGAATCTATATTATTTCGTAGTTTCTCATCAGCTGCTTACAATCTAGAAGAATTTCAACATCAATTTATACAAATGTTTGCATGCTTGAATCAATTTAATAGAAAATTATCGGCTTAAAATAAAGAATAGCATCGATATGAAACACTTGAAAACTCATAAAATCAGTGACTAAATATCCAGAAGTAATAGTTAATTTGTAAGTACACAGTGGAATGAGATGAATACTTTAGATCAGAATTTGGTAAGAAAGAGAGGCGATTGTATTCAACATATTAAGAAAGGGTACACAAAATGCATGAAAAGTCATAGAATTTATGTTAACTAAGAGCCTAATATGAGTAAAATTGAAATAATCAGGTTAAGGGTATGAAATGTGAGAAACAAAGATATGTATAAATCGATAATGAAATGTAAAAAAATACTGCCTTAAAGAGGACTGCTATACTAATTGTACTCTACTGAACAAATCGCTCATTGACACAGTCAAATATTATTTCAAGTCGATAATTTTCTATTAAATTGATTCAAGTATGCAAACATTTGTATAAATTGATGTTGAAATTCTTCTAGATTGTAAGCAGCTGATGAGAAACTACGAAATAATATGGATTCATTCTATTCTGTTAAAGCTTTTGTTCTCATTCTATTTAATACAAATGAATTTTTCATCTATTATGAAGGCAATCAACCTTACACGTTATAAATCAAACATGTTTTTGTTAGATTCGGCGGGATGTTACAATTTGATGGCCCTGTTCGAAGGAAAGCTTTATCATTGATGATGTTCACTTTAGGATTTCGTTACCCAGTTGTAAGTTTAATATAATTGATTTTCTGTCGTGTTGTCACACTGATAGGATTTGTATTCACCAGTTTATTTCATCTTATATAAATACGTCCACTGTATGTGCGAATGTGTTGATGTACTATGGTGCTGGATAATAATAATAATAATATGTCAATTTTTTGTAACTCAAATGTGTTTTAGCATAATGATCGCATATGGGGAGCAAACAACACTCTTATGCAGGATGTCAATGTCATTTATTCTCTTTTGATAACTTTATTACATGTTTATACATAAACTGTTAATGTAACACTTTATACATTGAAGACTGTGATCAGATTATCGAAGTTTAACGGAAGAAAAAGGACAAAAAATGTGAAAGAGCAATAATCTCATAGGACCTTTAAAAGGTATTATTTATTATTATTATTTTCCTCTTGGGTTCCTAGTGGAGCATAGGGTTTCAGTAGCACATCTCCATTCCACTCTGCTCTCTGCAGTCTTTTCAACCTGGCTCCACTACTGCCCACAAGCTTTCATTTCTTCCTCATACGATCGCCTGCATATCACCCTGGCCACAGACGCCCAACTTGTCGTTCCCTCTTTGGATTCCACTCGAGTACCTGACCTGACCTGGCCTGGCCTGACACGTGATGTCCCCGATTGGCCTTCTCAGTGTATGCCCAATCCATCTCCACCTTCTTCTGCATATTTGTTGGGTGATGGGTTCTTGATTGGTTCGTTGTCAGCTAGCTAGCCAGCCAGCCAGCCAGGCAGAGTTCCTTGTTGCTTATTCTTTCTGGTTTTCTGATCTGGTCTTCAGTATCAAGTGAGCGTGGGTGACAGCTGTTCATCATGTATGTCTTTAGTTTGTTGGGAATGCTATTTGTGACACGCCAAGTTTCTGAACCATATAGCAGCACTGACTTGACTGCCATTGGTGTTGAAAATCCGGATTTTGTTCCACATGCTGAGTGCAGAAGATCTTCACACTGGTTTCAGGCTAATGAAGACCTGTCTTGCTTTTTCGAGCGTGGCTGACTTTGACGTCCTCGTCTATGCCGCCGCCTGTAGTTGAAACAGTGCTGCCTAGGTAGGTGAAAGAGGCTACTTCCCTTGAGTTACTCCCGTTGATGGTGATTGAAACTTGTTGTTGGTGGTGGCCTTGGTTGAGTATCATCATCACCTCTGTCTTCTCTACATTCACTTCAAATTCCATTTTCGCTGCATTGCCTCTTCTGTCAACTTGTTAGTTTTCGCCTGTAGATCTTCAAGTTTGTGTGACATTAGACACAATTCATCGGCGAAATCCAAATCTTCTGGGGATCTTTTCGCCGGTCCAGCGTATCCCCTCTTCTCGCTCCACTGTTTGCTGCGTGATCCAGTCGACCACAATCAGGAAGATCATGGGTGATAGTAAACGGTATTGCTCTAGTATATGCTATAATGGGGTGAAGGTGATATAAAGTAGGAAGAAGAATTAACATTTGATATTGAAGGCTTATTTGACATTTCTCGTGAATCACTGGTGTTTTCATGATAACTTGGTAAGTGAATAAACACTATTGGTCGTTTTACATTGTCTATTAAGTGTGTCATATTTTCTCTGTTTATTCAGATTCGTAAAGCAACAGCAACTGAATTGTATGAATGTCTCATGGTTTATGAATTATGTAAACCAGAATTATCTCATCAACTATCGTCTATACTTATTGAAACAATATGGTGAGTTTTTAGTTTCCGTGAATATTTAATTTCATGTGAGGGTCAAATGAACTCAATAACTTTTATATTCTATATTCTATTACTAGTCTTCAGAAAACAAATCATGAGAGGCAGCTGCATTAATGAAGTATTCATACAAGAAGGGATATATCCACAGAGGTCATCAGTTTGATCCAGTGAAAGTGTAGGAAGAGAAATTGCACAATGAAAACAGTATTTCTTTCCTTCAATCTATTTTTCTCTTCTCTTACACAATTGAGTTTTTCCAAGACATTCATATTTATAGAACTATCGTTAGAAATGAAAATTAATCATCAGATTTGAGAAAACTTAGGTATTCAATTATGTTAGAGTACCATCACTAAACGTTACTGATTTACAAGTTAGTAGTAAATTAAAACAGCCAACTGATTGAATTGTCCATCAATGTCGGTGTTATACACCTAATAATCAGCATACTATTTCATTTCATATATATTGATGATTTCAGTTTGTCTTCATTGTGTTTAATTGTGTTATAGATTATAGCTAAACGTTTCAAGAAAAACGTTTTAGTCATCGAACGGTAATCATCAAATGGAATTATCTGTTAGGTTTTTGATCTTGATAAACAAAAATCACTAGTGATCAGTTGGAATCTCTAGCTCTACTACGCTTAAATCATGTCACTATGAGTTTCTTTTTCATGTGTCAGTGATAGTGGTCAAACTATTTTATGGATATTTTATTGTCTACTTCTAAATAAGTCCCTTTGGAAAATCGAAAATTTTTATAATTTGAAGGTGTAATAGGCTTTTTTTATTGTATGCGAATTTTTTTTTCTTGATGGTAATCTGGTCATTGTTATTTTTCATGCTTAATGATTATCTTACTTGAATTTTGAGGGAGTTGTGGGGATTTTGAAATATTTGAAGTTGTTATTCATCGTAGACTGACATCAGTTGGAGGAACAAAGGAGACCTGGGAGCACTGAACAGCTGTTTCGTCCTAGTATGGGACTTCTCAGCGGTTGCGCTATATCGTGAACTAACAGAATTTGGAAATATTGATCACTAGAGTCTGACCCAGTGGCTTAGTGGTAACGTGCTAGCCACGGAACCTGTAGGTCGCGGGTTCGGTCCCTGGCGGTGTTATGTGTGCGCACTGCTGAGGAGTCGCGTATTGGGACGAAACAGCTGTCCAGTGCTCCCAGGTTTCCTTTATTTCTTCAACAGATGTCAGTCTACGATGAATAATAACTTGAGATTATTTTACTGTTAATTGGTAAAGAAATTTCGTTTTATTCAATCAACTATATGATTACAATCAAATAACCTGTAAATTTTAACTCTTTTGCAGGGAATCTGAACTAGAAGTAGTAAGACCGATTCGTAATCAAGTCTGCGATCTGCTTCAAGTTCCCTTTCCGAAAGTGTTGCGTGAAAATCAAAACGATCAAACAACGCAGTCAACAGTGGTTAGTGAAAGCTCTACTACAAAGGTGGTTGTTAGTGATGTACCTCATGCTTTGCCGTGATTAGTTTGCAACTATCATAAGAAAGATTTAAGATGCAGAATATAATTCTCCTCTGTTTTGTATAAAATCTATTTATTTCTTAATTTTACAACCCATGTTTTGTTTCAATGGAAACGTCGTACTGCTGAGAATATATCGTGAAAAAATCCTATGAGTCTTCTGTTAACAAGCAACATGAAGCGCTAAAGCTGGAGGTCTATGTCCCGTCACACGGTTCAGATTAATGGTCCGAGATTTCGTATAGTGATGCTACTCTTTATCCTGGCCATTTTTGACCTTTTTCCAACCTTGACCGTTTTCGGTTAACATTGAGCTGCATGGTAAGTGGTGACTAGGCATTTATATCATACCTCAACCATCCAAATCAATCAAGGTCCACAACCTCATCAACTGACTTCCCCCTTCTACACGTTGATACTAGGCGTATGCTACGGAAACGACGATTTTCGAACACCCGAAGCATTCTAATATCCTCCACATTTAATAGTCATGTTTTACAGTCCTATAGTAGAACATAGCAAACGGTGACGCTGCACACTTGGTCTTTGGCAAACAACCAGGCATTTTGCTGGTGCCATAGATGGAGTAAGTTGGTTGAAGCCGATGATGATTTCCGGCACCGTGCAAATCATATTTCCCTTCTACAGTCTTATTAGTTGTTGACATAGCCCTAGTTCTCTTAAGTCAGACGACTTCCGTTTATATATCCGGTTAATCATATCTACTTTGCGAAAACCGATGACGACACAGATGCTAAAAACTTAGTGGGTGCAACAACATCTGACCATGTAATCGGCACGTTCTAGTGTGCGGACCTACAGGAAATACTTGTGTGCGGGTGGTCATCTGTCGGTATCCTTGAATCGTCGGATGCATCATTCAATATAACTGGTTGGAATACAAACAGCGATAAATTCGATGCAATGAACTGAATTCCTAACATATACTTTGACATGGACAGTATGCTTGAAATCCTGTCGTTCGAACTAATGAACTAGCGATTAACGCTCAAATAATGACTGTATATAAGTTATCCCGATCTGCAATAAGATTTTATCCTAACCCTTTTATAATCAGAGTCTGGACGTGCTGTTTCATTGTTTGAGGTACGAAGCGTTTGGAGTAGACTGGTCAGTCGGTGTGTTCTGTTCGCGTTCTCCTCAAGTGACCTATCGATTCACCCCCTGCCCGAAAGTTTTGTGGTAAGAAAAACATACTTCTACCTATTCCATCTTCTCTGACTTCCTTACCCATCAATGCTCATTCTTGCCGCATAAACTCATCGATGGTCTACGTTTGAGCTGCTTTCGCCCTTTCAAAGTGCTCTGAGTCGGTAGGAATCCCTTCGGGCAGAGGTAGCCGTAAAGATCCAATGGCTCCTCCTAGCCTTTTCCGAGGTCCGCTTGCAGCAGAATCAAGGTGGTACTTGAATTCATCAGGATGGTTAGCATAGTTGTACACCCCTGACTGTCTTTCCAGTTCTTCTCTGAAAACAGCTTTGCAATCTCTTCTTCCATATTGGTCTTCCAGTCATAGTCTGCCCGCACCTGTTAAAGTGCAGACAAAAGCGTGCTCGAAACGAAATACGATTACTGTTTGGAACAATTCCCACTGGTCATTTTCGGTGATAACTAATGGCGATGTGCTCAGTCTATGTGTATTGTTGACTAGAGGTCGACTGACGTCATAGTGAATAATATCTCATTTTACTCTTGCAATTCATGCTGGGTATAGTTGGACGAGTCTTTACGCAAGGTTGCAGTTGGTGACGGCGATTCTGAAAAGTCATAGAACGGTCCATACATAGTGTGCTGGTCAAGATCCTTGGCCAACCCACCCATCCTTTGGAATTACCCATTACCACCAACGCCCCAATGTCACGTTTACAGTGGGAGGCTAGACATTTTTCATAGAACTCTTCTGGACTGTAGGAAGTGGTTGCATGAGTATACATTAAAAAGGACTACAGCAAACTTCTTAGTTAAATAATGGACAGAAAACTGCCAAATAGCTCCTGTCCAGGCGGTGTGCATTATTCTGTGGTTTCTGTTGCTGTGCTTACGTCAACAGGGTGATGCAAGTGACCAGTGAATCTCCAAGCACCATAGAAGCACGAAGTCTGCAGACCCATGGTTTCGCAAGATCACATAGATAGGCTCCATTGGTGGGTGACAGCCTGAATTTATTTGCCATACTACAATGTTTTCACACACCGCACCTGAAGCATGCCCAGCTGGATGTAATTTTGCTCCTTAACTTCATAAAAAACCCATGGTAGTTTTCATTCTACCTAATCAGGGTTAGGCTTCACCCAGTCGCCCTATGATCCAGTGGGTAAATTCAAACCTGAGTGAATACTGTTGGACACACAAAGTAGCATTTAGCCCCATACTTAGGGTTTCAGCAAAGTAACCACATATCACAATGGTGCCGGACAAAAAAGAAGATTGGGTGAGATTAGTAGTGTTATTTCTCTCTTTTCAAACAACGGATTGTTGATTCGACCACAGTGGTATGCCAACACTCCCATACAGAATGATTACGCCTGAGGTCCACTGGCGGAGCCCCAATCTGCCAGTAATTCATTTTCAAGTTTCCCAATTTATGGAAAAAAATATTCCGCGGACGGTTGGTCATCCCATTGAATGCATTACAGCCATTTTACCTTTTCCAGGAGTCTCCAATGAATAAGTATAATGCTTGTTAGACCGTACCCCCTGGGCACTGATTCATGTGCGCGTTTTAATCTCACACAATGTTATCCTTGTTTCATATACTTTAGAAAAAAGTTTCTTATCTGAGAACTGAGTAACTTAAATCTGAGAGAAGCGATGTTTCTTCACGATCACACAAATACTGTTTTTGAGCGTGGGCATGTGAAAGGAATATATGGAGCAGGCTTTCCTAGAAACTGGTTTTAGAGATCCAAACCTTAATTCGACCTCAGGCATCGACTCATGAAGTAGACCTCCTTTCAAATTCAGCGTTACGCTGGGTTTTATAATAAAATACTTCAACAGACATCTGAGATTTCACACCTAACGTCCTCAGATTACTGGGTTCCCATTTAGCAGACATATTTTACACAGTTGGTCGCATTTCACCTCCCAAATTTTCAGTACCTGTCAAAGTAGTACCACAGTGCAAGGAGATAATAATGCTAGCAGTCATTGCTGTAATTTGCTTGGTGGTGGCCGATCGCAAGTGCCAGCACTCGCGTTTCATCCCATTTAGAACTCAGTAGAAGATGAGTGTACTTTCACCTCAGTGAATGATGGTGTCCCCAATGAGGCTGAAATCCTGCACCCGTCACTTCAATATTGGGCGTTTTCTACCATATCATTGAGGCAGGACAGGCACATCTGCTATACTCGTAAATTCCTGCTTTTATCCTGGGTGAAATTGCCTGACACCTGCAGGCACATGGGCCGCTACGCGGAATTGAGAGTGACAGCAAGTAATAACAATTTGTACCCGCTGCACAAGATGTACCTATCGCGCATCAGTGCCCTTGTGGATGATACCCTTGGGCTGAATTGGTGAGTAAGGGATCCCAGCCTCGTTAGGAACACTAGCGCTCACCAGGGTGCAGGTTCATTTAGCCAACGAGTTTCAAACAGGACAAACCACATGACCTAATATCTATTTTCAGCCATCACCAAGTAAACTATGGCGATGAGTGTTCGGGCAAAGGAGCTGTATCAGTTTGATTCACTATAACTGGGTGAAATTACCGGTACCAACAAACAACGAAAGCAATCACTGTTATCTTCACATTATCACTGAGCCTTATTTTAGGCGACCACAAAGTCTAGTGCACTCTTTGGTCACCCTACTGACAGGATTACAAGTAGTTGACGCGGGATTATTAACTTGCGTGCAAGCCTTTTCCGAGATGAAAAAAACCTTAAACTAGTATTATTCACCCCGCGAGTGTTTCGTGGTCATGGAAATCCAGATGGAGAGAACCACCGCCACTAGTATGAATCTGTCACTACTTGGTGGGTATCAGTGGGAAGAAAAGTTACTTATCAAAAGGCACTCCTTTCATCCCGCTGCAAGTCTAGCAATTGCGATGCGGAGAAAGCCGTGCGCTTATTTCAAATAATAATAACTGTCAATCCATCAAATCACTCACGTTGAACATTCGAGCGTTACCAACAAGCGACAATTCAGGAAATAATTTTGTCAAAAATGGATGTAAATCAACATGTAATGCACAAAATTCACTTTCAGAGATTCGAATCAAAAAGATGAATCGATCAATGATAGTCATTATAGCTAAGTATTTGACAGAGAGAGGCACCGTTGCCAAGGGCTGACTACTGGGATCGAAGAAGTGAGGTAGCAGGGTAAAGAATGAGATTCTAAAATGTCAGTTACGATGTAGCAACCAATAAACAATAAAGACCACCTCGACATGCTATAAATGTTCGAGGTTATCAAACACACATCGCCGCTCATAGGTTGCGAATCAATAATGCTTCGTTCATTTTGTAATCTCTGCTCCCAGCTATTGCTATACTGATAAAGATAGCAATAATTCGGTTAAGTATGGTATGAGACTTCAATAAACTTTGCAGCAAAAGTTATCACCATTTCTTGCTGTCATCAAGATTCTATTTCATCGGTCTCTCGGCATAATAAACCCTGGTATATCTTACGATGACACTATTTTAGTGGATGGAAATCCGTGCTTTCAGCTCCCCCTATTCTTTGAATCAAACAAGTATTCAAAATTTTACAGAAATTGAAGGACAGTAAGCACGTGAATCAAGTATTGTGACTGTGTTCTTTTGAATTGCAATATGGTCGTCGGGGCGCTACTTCTTTTTTCGAAAAGTCACCTTTGCAACATCTGATGCCGGTTTTAACACTGTCTACTCCTGGGACTTCCACAGGCTTTCAGGCAGTTTCCTTCATCTCGTGGGTTTCTTTTACCGTGTAATTCAGTTATCTTTGCGTACAAACTTAAATGTTATTATTTTTAGCGACTGGTGCGTGAAAGTTTGTACAGACGTCTCTAAGCGCCAGCTCTAGAAGGCTCTAACTACTTTCCAGCTAGCAGATCGACATGTCTCACGTCTGACAGGGTTACCTCGTATACCCTAGGTTGTCTGGCTGAATGTTGTTCTAGCCCAGTTGACAAGGCTCATCGCTCATTATTTTGACATTGGTATTTTCCGGCGAGCAATAAAGCGAGACCATTTTGTGCTAACTGTAAAAAGTGAGTATTATTTGCCGAGTAC